CCCAAGCATCACTTGACAAAGCTCAGAAGAACTGATGCACATCTTTAGGGCGGCACGGTGGCTGAGTGGATAGCACTCTCGCCTCTCAGCAAGAAGGTACTGGGTTCGAATCCCGGTCGGACCAGGGCCTTTCTGAGTGGAGTTTGCATGTTCTCCCCGTGTCTGCGTAGGTTTCCTCCGGGTACTCCGGTTTCCCCTACCACTAAAAACATGTCCAATAGTTCTGGCATGCGCCTCCTGTACTGGCGACCCCGCTCCCATCTCTGTGGAGTGAGAGACAAATGCCCAAAAAAAAAAAACATTAACAATTGTAAACCGCTTTGAGACTCAGATCTGCAGTGAAAAGGCGGTATATAAATAAAAACTTACTTACTTACTTTACTTACTTTACTGTAAAAATCCGCATGTTACTTGTTTTTCATATGATACACCAGTTTACTCTCCTCTTCCTCGTCACTATCACTATCTATCTGTTTTTATGCTTCTGAGTTTTAACTTCACGTATCCACAACAGATCTGATTGATTTCGATTATTTAGATCATTTCTATTCTCCTCCATGCCTGGATTAAAATTGTGATAAATTACCTATCAACCTGGCTGCTCATGAATTCAGATACAGGACCTGTGATTTTTGCAGAAAGTTGAATATACACATTGTTAATCCAATGCAAAGGATTTATAAGACATTCAGGTCAATTTTGAAAGGTTCAAATGTTCAATCACTGTAGGTATTATAATACAAATTGATATTCTGTAATAGAATCATTTGAATAAAGACAATTAGAAGTGAAATCAGCTGCATTAAACTGTATACTGTGGCCATGAATGTCAGAAATCTAATTATGTGCCCCCGGTGAGAAAGACCATACTGTATACTGAACATAGATAGAACATAAACAAACATCATTCTCAGTACACCTGTCTGGGCCACACAGACAAAAACAGACTTCATGAAAACAATAGTTCATTTGCAAAAGTTATTGACAGAAAACAGACAGAAACATTTTGGAAAGTGTTTGTTTTTTTGAGCCAGACATATTTTAGTGCTAAATAAAATACAATACAAATACACCCCTTCAAATTCTTTTAAATGTACTGCCTTTTGCAAATCATGCTGAATCTTGGTATAATATACAACGTTTTGATATTTGATATCTGTTTTTGCAAATGACCTCGTCAAATACTGAGTGTGTGGAGAGGGACAATCATGAGCTTCTAAATATCTGCAGAAATCTCTCCACCCGCTGCACCTGTCACTTCTCAAAACTCCTCCACTTCTTCATCTGTGAGAGAAAATCTCTGGTGGAGTCATTAGGAGAACAAGACAACCATTACCACTGTCATGCTGAGCTGTCAGGAGCGTGCACACTTCTACATCTGTGAAGCTCATTGGACAGAAATGTAAGTGTCTTATAATAGAAATATTATGCAAAAGAAAATGCAGTGGGCTACATTGACATTCAGCAACAGAGGCAAGGTAAGGCAAGTTTATTTGTATAGGACAATTCATACTCAAGGCAACTCAAAGTGCTGAACAAAACAACATAGAAACAGTCCCCCTTAGGACGAACAAAACATTTTGCAAAATAAATCTAAATATGGATCAACTTTAGTTACTTGTTTTTAGTAGTCACCTGCTGTAGTTGTTAGTATTATTAAGAGGTATGTTATTTGTCAACTTCATGTTGGACTGATCAGTTTGTCAATTATTTAATATTGTCCCTTTAGGGTTTAGGGAAACTTGTCCTCTGCATTTGACCCATCCCTCATTGCTCTATCAGGAGCAGTGGTCGCTGTTGTAAAGCACCAAGCGACCCACCTCCATATTGTTGATTCTCTGCTTGGTCAGGACCAGAGCTGGAGGATTTTTGCCTACTGCTTATGTTTTTAGTGGTAGGGGAAACCGAAGCACCTGGAGGAAACCAGTATAGACACGTGGAGACAATGCAAACTCCACTCAGAAAGGCCCTATTCTTTCTGACCAGGATTTGTTCCTATAGGATTTTCTCGCTGAGAAACAAGTGCTATCCACTAATGTTACATTACCCCCAAATGCATTTTTGGCATTACATGCTACAGATTAACAATAACAAATAGACAATTAATTCCTGCTCTGATCATTATAAACACCATTTACATACATTTAGTTTTCTAAATCTGAGATTATGACCTCCTCTTTTTCTAAAGTAATTTCTTTGACCTCAACATATTCCTAAAAAAGTTTTATATGAAACCACAAAAGTTTGACTTCACCAGTGATAATATATTTATTAATCGGTATTAGTTTTCTCCTGTTATTGTGCTGACTGGCCCTGGGTCTATTTTTAGCATATGATAGAAGAGCTGAAAATCAAGGCTGTGGTGCTGTTCATTATTCCCAGGGCCCCAAACAAAGAGCTACGGTGCACTTAGTAATAGCTCTGCATGTGTGTGTGCTAAAATAATACTCACTATAGGATTGTTCACTATTCCCTGTGGATCCCTCTGCCCACAGACGTTGCTCTGCCTGAGAGATGGCTGACCTGCTTTTGTACTACAGTTTTTCTCAAGGGTTTGTTAAACTGCTTTTTGTATTTGTTGCAAATCTCACCCATTCTATGATTTTGTTGAGGGATCCTCAATTTTCCTTTTATGTGGACAAAAACAATCTATATGAGGTCGACTTATTAGATTACATGTTTGATTTTGTATTTCTTAAGCAAACTAATGAAAGCCACTTATGGGCTGTTATTATTGTATTACGATGACACCAACATATGGAACTTCCAGTAAAAATTCAGACTGGAAGACTGGCATATTTTCTGGTTACTATCCCACCTGCTATTCACTGCTTGGTAGAGTCTAATATATATATAATATATATATATATATATATATATATATATATATATATATATATATATATATAAAAAAAAATTGTCCACTCACCTTTGGCCCTCCGCGGGCGGTTATCCCTCTCTAAGCTCGGGTCCTCTACCAGAGGCCTGGGAGCTTGAGGGTTCTGCGCAGTATCTTTGCTGTTCCTAGCACTGCACATTTCTGGACCGAGATGTCCGAGGTTGTTCCAGGGATCCGCTGTAACCACTCCTCCAGCTTCGGGGTCACTGCTCCGAGTGCACCGATCACCACGGGCACTACTGTCACCTTTACCCTCCAGGCCCTCCCTGGGGAGGCATTCAGGAGGCGTACGGAACAGATGCCCGAGCCACCTCAACTGGTTCTGGCTTTTTATTTTGTTTTATACTCCGATTTGTGTAGTTTTGACTCAAATCTTGATGATGATGTTACGCTGTAGAAGTGTCTCTGGCCTGAATATTCATGTTAAAGAAGTGTCTTTCCTCAGTCATATGATAAATCGTGGAGGTCTTTGTCTTTATTCAGGCCAAATGTGACCGATGAACAAAGTAGTCTATTCCCACATGTTGATTTGGGGATCGAGGCCAACGTGGCCATGGTGACAGTGTAACCTGGTCCATCTCGGAGGGTCTGAGGCTCGGCCCTCATTGTCTTCCAGCCAAAGACAGAGCCAAATGAGGGCGACTCAGAGTAATGCCTAACCAACTGTGAACAAATCAATGCATTAGAAACACCCTTACTGTAATAGTTAATAACTGTAATTATTGACAAAAAAAAAACAAATAAAAAGTGTGTGAAAGGTAAAAATTAATTCACAGAAACCATTATTGTATTATAGTATACATGTATAACTGTATATGTACTATTTCTGAACACTGCTTATCTTCTGTTTAGACAATGCATTGATTGTACAATAACTGTAGATGTTAAATTGGTGGTAATCAGAGATCGGAGTCAGAGTCATAGTGGTTGCTTTAGGGAAGACCTGATGCCGCTTTTTTATGTCCGATTCCAATCACAATTTCTGCAGGTACCAGATATAAACATACACCACTGAAAGGATAAGATGACTTAAAAAGGTTTAAAAAGTGATTAAAATGTGTAGTGTACAGTTGTTTAACCTGTCTTGTTGTTTAACAAGACAGAAAGCTTCCAACTGTATTTCACAAAATACGATCCTTTGGGTGAAATGATGTCAATTGGCACAATAAATTACTCAAATAACCCTAACCCACACCACAATGGATTAAATTTTGAACTTATTCCTTCTTCCAATGTTATTCAGAAGTAGGGGCATGAGTTGATTAAATGCACATTTTGAGGGGTGCTCGCTGGAAAGTTTGAGAATCCATGGCTTGACCACATCTAATACCACAGAACCGATGTCCGATTCAACCTTTCCTGGATTGCACAAACTTTCACTGCTGGTATTGGTTCATGTGCATCTCAAAAAAAAAAAAAATACTGATCTAGAGACTGTTGCTATATGTGTATTTATGCTTTAACTTTTGTTTGCAATGCTTAATTGGGAATTTTTTACAGATGCAAAATAAATCATTATTGTCAATTGCATGATATGTAAACACAAAGGTCCTCCATGCCTCTGCTAGCTGGAGGTTGACACAAGAGACAGCAGGCTTGAGCGTTTCCCCCTCGTCACAGTTGTCCATGAGTGTCAGTCATTGCTGCGTTTATCTTTGAAGTCTCCTCCTCTCCCGCTGACTGCACTGCTGCTGTTGGGGTCCACAGCGGGACGCCTCAACTGTTTCTCAAACATGTCCCTGGATGGACCCATTCAGAATCCCTCCCTCGTTGACAGACAGATGGCATCCTCCAACTTAAACAGCACGAGTCAACTTATTTTCTATTTGTCAAACCGCTTTGTGGGTTGGGCATTTAATACATAATCTAATGATGGGATACCCCAGAGAGAAAACATGTTCTGTGGAATCTATGCTGACAGCCACTCTAAAAAGAACAACATTCAGTGTTACTATTCAGCATTAAAAATACTGTTATTATAACTTGATTTTTGGATGTAATCTGTTACCTAGATCGTGATTACTCTGACAGTGAACGATAGTGGCCATTTTATAAAGTGTCCTTTTTTATATCATTCATGTAATGTTCTTGTTCCCTGCAGGGATCCAGTTCATTGGAGGAGTCCCTCCCACAGCAGCCGAGAGGACGTCATAGTTTTGTTCAAGAGCACTTCCAGGCCCAATACAGGTGAAGAACCCACATACTCTTTGAGAAACTGCTCACATATGAAAGTTTTACTACAAAGCATAAGTTTTTGTATTACATGAAGTCATGAGCGAGGCCCAGCTGATCTAAATTTCTGGATCTGTGAGGTTATTGTTCAGTTGAGAAAGCATTTTTGCCCTGGGGAATAAGTTGAGGAGCTGCAGAAACTAGGTCAGATGGACATGTGAAGGCTTGAGGGGTTTATCTGGAGGTGCTGCCTTTTGACCAGCTCTGCCCCTCTGCTCAGCCACTCTGGCATTTCACTTTGATTTAATCCAAACTACATAATTCTCTTTAAATCACACAACACAACAACAATATTGATTGGCTCGACCAATATCTAACTAAAATAGATTGGTTGAAAATACAGCAATAGTAAAAGTGTAATATTCACATTGACAAGTTACATGTACAGTGGGGCAAAAAAGTATTTAGTCAGCCACCAATTGTGCAAGTTCTCCCGCAATTTTCATCATAGGTACACTTCAACTGTGAGAGACAGAATGTGAAAAAAAAAATCCAGGAATTCACATTTTAGGATTTTTAAAGAATTTATTTGTAAATTATGGTGGAAAATAAGTATTTGGTCAATAACAGAAATTTAACTAAATGGAAGGAAGTTTTGGCTCAAAATCTCACGATACATGGCCCCATTCATTCTTTCCTTAACACGGATCAGTCGTCCTGTCCCCTTAGCAGAAAAACAGCCCCAAAGCATGACGTTTCCACCCCCATGCTTCACAGTAGGTATGGTGTTCTTAGGATGCAACTCAGTATTCTTCTTCCTCCAAACACGACGAGTTGAGTTTATACCAAACAGTTCTACTTTGGTTTCATCTGACCACATGACATTCTCCCAATCCTCTGCTGTATCATCCATGTGCTCTCTGGCAAACTTCAGACGGGCCTGGACATGCACTGGCTTCAGCAGGATTTGATTCCCTGTCGTCGTAGTGTGTTACTGATGGTAACCTTTGTTACTTTGGTCCCAGCTCTCTGCAGGTCATTCACCAGGTCCCCCCGTGTGGTTCTGGGATTTTTGATCACCATTTTGACCCCACGGGATGAGATCTTGCGTGGAGCCCCAGATCGAGGGAGATTATCAGTGGTTGAAATATCGTTTTGGGCTACATTTTGGCCATCTTTTATACAGATAACGAGTTCAAACAGGTGCCATTAATACAGGTAACAAGTGGAGGACAGAAGAGCTTCTTAAAGAAGAAGTTACAGGTCTGTGAGAGCCAGAGATCTTCCTTGTTTGAAGTGACCAAATACAGTACTTATTTTCCACCATAATTTACAAATAAATTCTTTAAAAATCCTACAATGTGAATTCCTGTCCATCGTGGCGCCACCTGCATGTGAAAGCCTGATTCTGTCAGACCTCTACTGTGAAAAGAGACCCATGGGAACATCAAATGTGTGTCACGGCTGACTTCATTAGTTTATGATTGAATAATTCTATAGTTACAAATATTTGAATCACTTGTTTTAGAAATAAATATATGTTATTAATCCCTAGTTGGTCAAATCTTTGTAACTGTGATGAAACTCCACACTGTCTGGAAACCCTATCCCTGTACATCTACCCACACACACACACACACACGCACACACACACACACACACACACATGAACAAAGCGACCCTTTAGTGTTTGTTGTTGTTCTCCACACCCACAGCCCACGTCTGATCCCACACCGGTGCCCCTCCTTTTTTCCCTCCTCAACCTCTCACTCCTTCTCTCTGTGTGGGGAACAATCACAACTATATTTAGATGGGAGTTCCTTATGTGCTGTCTAATAAAGGTTCTGTTCTCACGGCAAAAGAACACAACCTGATGCGCAGCGCTGATGACGGTTATGGGCACATTTCATTTAACTTTTATTTAACCATCTCTTTTATGGAGAGAATTGTTCAAGAAGCGCCTTGGCAACAACCAACTTCATACCGAATTATGTTGTAGTAATTCAGTCAAATGGGCCAGCGCTTGTGGGAAGGTGCTGTCTTCTCTAATGAAATGTAGCTTGAAGACTCTATTCACAATGACATTCACAATATATAAATGAATTAATATGATTCCTCTGCAGCTTAAGTTTTAATAATGTATTTCACTTTGTGTGGGACAAATCGCAACATAATGTGACATCACCTCCTGGCCTGTTTACCTCCTGGCCATCTTCATCTCTATCTGTTTTCCTCTCTCATCACTTTAAGTTTATTAGACTTTTTCCCAACAAGTGCTCATCCTCTCTACTGCTCTACAGTGTTTAGTCTGTACCATTTATTTTTCATTGGCCTGGGAGAGTCCATCTCAGCATCTGCCTCAATTGTTGACTTTTGATACGAATAATATTTTAGCTCATTTTAGAATATGTAGCCGTAGCTCTTGTCACAAACTGACACATGGTAATTGAGATGGGAGTGGGCTGGTGACTGTTGTTTTATTAATGAACTGTTGTTATTTTTTGAAAAGCACTTCTCATATAGATGTAACGAGAAGTTAGTGAAATATGCAAGTGTAGCCAAAATAATAATAACAATAAAAAAAAGTATTCATTTTATTATTGATAATCATAACACTATTATTTTACATTATCCATTATCTAATTTATAAATAACTCTTTCCCCTCAAGATAAAGCATTTGTACCAATACTATAGAAAACACAATGTTAGTTTTCACTTTCCATATTTATTATTTCTCCATAACAGTAAAACTTCAAAGGTGTTTGCTGAGGCGCCCCACAGTGGGAAAGAACTGGGTTTGGGCTCTGCTTGAGCTGCTGGTTGGTCATAGCACACTGCCGCTCTGAGTGGCTGTTAGAAATATGTCCAGACTGTGACCTCTCTTACTTTGATTTGGATTCTTTCAACCACATTGTGCGTCTCCAGGGCCAGCACCCACTCCCCGGGTCCTGGGTGAGCTTTGAAGTGGGTGCTAGCCAGTTTGTGCGGGCTATTATCAAGCACAAGCTCTTCTTTGATCTCTATCCCTTTTTGTCTAACAAATGCAAAAGTTGTAAGACATTGAAGTTCATGTGAACAGGGAAAGTGTATAAATGTGAATTTATATTCACAATTTCAGTGATATTTTGTCTGTAAAATGTTTAGGGCTGTCAGCCGTTATTAATTTTAAATTAACTGGTTGATAATATCATTGTTAATTTTTCAACTATTATTTTAATTAGATTGGAGCAACTCTACTGAACCCTACTAACCCTAATCCTTTGACGTTCAATCCAAGTTGAATTCAGTTATCTTATGCCTAAATAGTTGGTTTTTTGCACAACATATAAGTCTTGTGAGTACAGTTTAGGCCAGTTATGGACAACAGCCCTAGAAATGATATTATACTGAATCCAAACTACATAATTCTGTTTAAATCACACAATACTCTAGAACCGCATTGCTTTTATCCATTAACGCTAAAAGCAGTAGAAAAGCGGCAATCCTTTACAGTAAATAATAATGGCTCTCAACGGTGATCTGGATCAGCTAAGTCCTGGATCAATCCTAATAGTCTGTCTATTAGGATTGTTAGCCCAGTTTCAGCCCTTCGCAAGTTCAGGGTGGCGGGACGTAATAATAGTTGTAACAGTTCATTCAGTCATTAATTTTCATACCCTTTAGTAATAAATTTCTGGGTTGGGGGATAGCAGTCAAAGCTGCCACCCTATGCTTATTGTACCAGTCCCTCGCTGATCCTCCTGCAGGTGGTGAGTCCACGGAAGAATGGCTGCTCCGTCAGTGATGACAGAGCCTTGGTCTGTCATTGGTTCAGCCAAATTGGGGTTAAGTGTCTTGCCCAGGGACACAATGATAGCAGATTGCAGGGGGAGCAAATGGAGAAGGTCTTGTAGGGGGGTCGAACCCAAGGCTAATGGACCAATGCACTACCAACTGAGCCACTGTCACCATCATAGTTTGAAAGTATTCTTTCAGATAAAACCAAAACCTCTGTGGGGGGCCAGTTTCTGGCTGCATCTGAAACTGTGGTGCGATGACAAAAACATGATGTCTGCAAAATGTGTATTCACCAACACAAAGATCAGGCATGACAGAATAGAATATACTCCTGCACTGCAGACACACAGACCCATTCACCTGTTAAAGCAGAGTTTTATTTTCAAGTTATGTGCACTGCATTTCAATGTATCAAGCTGCTACAAGAAACAGTAAAAACTAGCAACCAGAGCAACAACTATCCAGGTGTAGATTCAATGCACTCTGCACAACAGGTGAGTGCGCAGCTTAGCGCTCATAATGCCTCATATTATATTCAACAAAAACTATAACCACAGACTCATGCCGTGAAGTCATGTTTAACCCTTTAACATTACCTCCTTGAAGAAAGCAATGTAATTTTTTTCTGTTTTGGATTTCTACTAAGATGTAGGAGCACTAATAACAACTAATTTATTTTTAGGTTTTTAAATTAATGAAGATAATTTTTTTATGAATTTGTTTAATCGTTATGTTTTTTATTATATCCCTTTATAGGGCTATAGTTTGATGGTAAAATTGCCTATAACTAAGAAATGTAGATTTCAGTTCCCAGCATGCCTTAAGATTTGACTATAAAGTTAATCTACCAAATGATTGAGGAAACCAGCCAAAACACACGTGCACACTCAACTGTGCAATCCTCACGTGCTTGCAATTCAAACATGAAAAAAATAATTAGATATCCACGCAGAGTCAAGAGCACTGTGCATCAATAGATGTGGAATAGTCATGATTAAGTTATGATTAAACAATTGAAATGTTTTTTGCTTTTTTGCTATGTTTTTTGCTTTTTTGCTATTGTTTCACCGTATTCACGTTATGCACTTGGTTGTAGACCTTAGGGAATTGGTGTCAAATCATAAGTGCATTTGAAATTAAATGTATTATTATTATAACTATAAACGGTGGTGAAAATATCAGCGTTTATGAGGCTGTGTACGTGAAGAAAGGCATTAATTTCCCTGTTCACTTTGAGTTGGCAGTTCCTGCTTTTCACCTCCACTCACCGCCCTCCTCCTCCTTTTCTCTGGATATTCTGATGCTGTGTCCAAACACAGAATACTAAAAGTTGTGGACTTTCCTGGCCTAAATGTACAGCGCTGAACACCCAGAGGTTTTTTAAAAGACCATGGACACATTCTACATCATATGATCACATGTGTCTGCTTATGTGAATTGGCCCTGTTCCACCAATATCTTCATCTGCTCAACTGGCCACAACAACAGTGCAGAAGAGAACCTTTAGAATACTGTTGTCTTCAATGAGAGCGTGTCATTTTACAGCTGCTGTACTTGTGTTTGCAGGTCCTCTCTCACGTGTCCTCATTGCCTTAAGCAGAGTAACACCTTCGACCCTTTCCTCTGCATCTCTCTGCCCATCCCGCTGCGCCAGACCAGGTGAGCTCTGACAACTGTTTATCATTATTATTGCACTAGTCTAGTTTATTATTGCACCAGCTGCTAACAACACCGAAGATATAAGAGGGTTACACAATGCTTTATGCTCCATGATACTTTTACGTACTGACTAAAGAGAATAAAACTCTTTGGTAAATTAAATCTATCATAAATTGTATTAGTAAAGCGTGGGTGCTTAGCGGCACAGTGGTGAGCATTTTCTATGTGGGATTTGCATGTTCTCCCTGTGTTCCTCTACCGCAGAAAAACATTATATTATTATCTATTATTACAATTATAGATTTGGCTTGCGCATCCTGTGTGGTGACGCGCTCCCATCTCTGTGTGGTGTGAGAGGACACATACCCACAATTGTAAAGCGCTTTGTCTGTGAAAGGCGCTATATGAATAAAGACGTACTTACTTTCACTCCAAATGGAACTATACATAACATCCATCTAACTAAACAATGGAAGGTTGCTCACCCATCATCTGTACTTCAGTTAGCAGTTAGCAGGTTAGCAGTTAGCAGGTTAGCAGTTAGTAGGTTAGCAGTTAGCAGGTTAGCAGTTAGTAGGTTAGCAGTTAGCAGGTTAGCAGGTTAGCAGTTAGTAGGTTAGCAGTTAGCAGGTTAGCAGGTTAGCAGTTAGTAGGTTAGCAGTTAGCAGGTTAGCAGGTTAGCAGTTAGTAGGTTAGCAGTTAGCAGGTTAGCAGGTTAGCAGTTAGTAGGTTAGCAGGTTAGCAGGTTTAGCAGTTAGCAGTTAGTAGGTTAGCAGGTTAGCAGTTAGCTGGTTAGCAGTTAGCAGGTTAGCAGGTTAGCAGTTAGCAGTTAGTAGGTTAGTAGGTTAGTAGGTCAGCAATTAGTAGGTTAGCAGTTAGCAGGTTAGCAGGTTAGCAGTTAGCAGGTTAGCAGTTAGTAGGTTAGCAGTTAGCAGGTTAGCAGGTTAGCAGTTAGTAGGTTAGCAGGTTAGCAGGTTTAGCAGTTAGCAGTTAGTAGGTTAGCAGGTTAGCAGTTAGTAGGTTAGCAGGTTAGCAGGTTTAGCAGTTAGCAGTTAGTAGGTTAGCAGGTTAGCAGTTAGTAGGTTAGCAGGTTTAGCAGTTATCAGTTAGTAGGTTAGCAGTTAGCTGGTTAGCAGTTAGCAGGTTAGCAGGTTAGCAGTTAGCAGTTAGTAGGTTAGTAGGTTAGTAGGTCAGCAATTAGTAGGTCAGCAATTAGTAGGTCAGCAATTAGCAGGTTAGCAGTTAGCAGGTTAGCAGTTAGCAGGTTAGCAGTTAGTAGGTTAGCAGTTAGTAGGTTAGCAGTTAGACCTGCTAACTGAAGTACAGAAAATAGGTGAGCAATCTTCCTTTGTTTTGAATAATCCCTGTATGACTGAGATCCTACACAAACGTATCCATCAATCTAGTTCCTCTCTCAAAAGAGTTCGGTTCTATCCATAGACATACAGATGTATATATTATCGGACGTAGTCACGCCTATCTCCGCCGTTCTAACTAATGGGCCAAAAATTGGGCCTGGAAAATGTGAAAAAACGCTTCTGCGCATGCGTCAGCTGGCACAAGCCCCATTCATTTGAACAAGTGACTTAAAAAATTCACAGCGAGTAAAATAGAGTGGTCCGAAAAATGCACTCCCCTCAGCATTGACACACACCCACTTTTGAGCCGGGACCCGCCCCCACTGGTTCTATCACTAGTTTTCACATGCATGTTTTTTGGCCGCTGTCACATCTTTGGATCAGCTTTTTCAGACAGGAAAGTGAAACAGCCTCTTTCAGCGAATCAGTCAAAAGTATGCAAATGATGATTACAAGATTTCTTTGATGAGGAAGACAGTATGATGTGGTCTGATTCGTTCACAACATTTTACTAGATTGTTAATTCGATTTCTTTATTTCTTGGGTCAAACAACTTGTATTATTTATGTGAAAAAAGTTAGGTACCCCAGCTTTTAAACTAATCAATAATCGTGGAATAAAAAGTTTTTCTTGTACACGGGAGCTACAGAAGCAGTGCTAAAGACTTTTGCAGCTTCGCACCTCTGCAGACACATGGACGTGTTGTTGTTGGCAGAGCTGCTGCTGTGTTAAATACAACCACCACACTTGTTAGTTTTCACATTTAAATAAAGCAGCCACGTGCAAACGTCCGATCACTTTGAGCAATGTGACTGGAGAGAACACATGCTTAAGACAAAAATAATGAAAAATTACAATATCGTTCAAAATAGGTAATGCTGGGATCATTTTGACTTACATGGAATTGAAATACCATGATTGTCTGGTTCTGTTTATCTTTGGTCTGAGTGTCTTAAAGGTCCCATATTACGCTTTTCTTCATGCTTCACATCCTATGCACATTTGTGATAATAATTTGACTCTGTAATATGGCACCTTTAAGGCACCACGAACCGGATCCACTGAGGTTTATGATGACAGCCGCTAATTAAAGCTGGAGAGGTTAACCTAAAGCTGGTCGTACCTAACTTTTTTGTTTGTTTACTTAATACATGTAGTGACACATTGGTTTGTGAACAAATCCACAATATGCTCTATCTATCTCATAAGAAAACATGTTATCTTTTACATAAAGAGATGGTTGGCGGAGGGTGGTCTCTGTTTGACTTTCCTTTCTGAAAAAGCTGATCTCTCAAATCAATAACATTTTAAATTTGTGTATAAAGCGCTGTTCATAGAAAAAATGCAACACAAAGTGCTTTACAGTTTGGTTACATTTTTTGGAGTTTTGGTAAAAGAAACTCTCTGGGCCTCAGGATCCATGACTAAAACCTCAGTTTTGTCTTGGTTAAGCTGGAGAAAGTTTTCTGCCATCCAGGATTCCAGGTCTAAAATGCAGTTAAAAAGAGCATCCATTGGCCTGGTGCCATCAGGAGACATGGCTACATGCTACCGCTGAGTGTCATCTGCATAACTGTGGAAGTTAATTCCATGTCTCCTGATGACACCGCCAAGAGGGAGCATGTACAGGTTAAAAAGGACTGGACCTAAAATGGAACCCTGGGGCACACCACATGTGATTCAATGGACCTGAGAGGAGCAGTTATCCAAACTTATTATGAAAGATCTGTCTGTTAAATAAGATTCGTACCATTTGTGGACAGCACCAGAGAAGCCAAGTTGTTTCAGGTGGGATAAAACAATAGTGTGGTCTACTATATCGAAAGATCTAGATTTGATCTCGATTTTTTTTTTAAATCAATAAGACGGACTTATTACATGAAGTTCTGCCTTTATGAATATTTTTACCAACACTATTTAATTGTGAATTTGTCCATTTGTCAATTTACTTCTGAAATCTAACTTACAATGTGAACTCATTACACACAAAGTGAGCATTCATTTGTTGGAATGTTGATATTTATGTTTCTCCGCTTATAAAAACCCCAAATAAAACCTCTCAAAATAATTATCCATCAGCCATATCCATCAAAATGATAACAAACAAGGTTTGCCCTATGTATGTAATGGGTCTATATCATATAAGATTCTAGTTTAAATACAGAAATAAATATATTACAGAAATAAATAATAAAGGAGTTTCATATACACTGGTTGTCACAAGGTTTCCTCTACTCTGTAATAAAAAGGATAACCTTTATTTAACCAGGTAAAAACCCAGTGGGATCAAAATCTATTCAAGTGGGGGATGTCCAAGAGGTCAGCACATGTCAAGACAACACAATGACAATAACAACTAATATGATTATTAAATAAAATCTCATTGACAATTAATGGTCCAACCAGGCTGGCAGTTCTAATGATATTCATTATATCTAATCCCAACCTGCTTTTGAAATGTATAGAAAATAACCAGTGTTTGAGGAACCAAACTTAAATCAACAGTGTAAAAATGGAAAAAGTTTCAAAGGCCCTATAGGCCAAGTGAAGTAATCCCATGGACATGAACACGAGGGCTTTATGTTGAAGTTAGATTGACATGCTCCAAAGCAGCAGCAGCAGGAAATATGCTTTTTGAAGATGTCATTTCTATTTCCTTTTCCACTCAAGTGTCATCCAGCACGCCTCATATCCATGTCTCATCTTAGAGCCTCTAACAACATGAAACGATGTAACGATGCCCTGTCACCACAGCTCATACTGTACACTCCTGAACAACACATGATAAGACACCACACTGTCTTGACCCGACACTGTACTTACAGATCTTTACTTTTGTTCTATTTTGAGTCTTTCAGGTGATGTGTAAAGAAAAGTGGTGCTTTATATTCTGTGTGCTCCGCCATGTGCCATCTTTGGACGGTTTACTTTTGCCTACCCCTTCATACATACATGTAAATGTTAATTTGGTTCTGATAACACAGTTTAGGGAGATGTTTTTCTATTCTAACGCCACACTGCAGAACATACTGGGCAAAAAAAATGTCCATAAGAGATGGTCACTTACCGTCTGCTAGAGAAGTTACTACTAAACACCCACAATACTGTTTGTGCCAGCCCCAAGCCTGAATAAAGTATGACATCATTTTACATTAAGAGGACTAACAGGAAAGTGTTTCCCAGAAAGTGCAAAGTGCAAACCCACAGATCTGATGGCAAGAAAGTAGAGACGATAAAAAATGAGAGCAAACAACTGATTCTTGAAAAACGCTGCAGTTCTGACATGTTTGACTTTGGCTTCAGGAGAGACAGCGTGTTACAGACGCAAACACTATGCAATCTTGGTTTATGCAAATGTATTTTCTTGCGTTCCCTGACGCCGCTCATATTCACACTTATTTCCAATATTGTGCAGTTTCATACCAACAAAGAAATGACACTATTTCATATTGATATATTTTTATCTGCCATGACTCAAGCCTGATGCCCCACAAGGGGGAACAAAACAATTTCATTCAGATAGAAACATGGCTGTTTGATACAACGAATCAGATCTGTTTAAGCCCATCAAATTAGATTTCATCACCCTGGTATTGTCAGAGGACTATCTCCGCATTATTAGGCAACACATCGCTCAGCATCTCAATGTCCCATCTTATTAAAGCTGTTTTGATATCTTATCTTCAAGAACTATTCGGCAAACTGCTAATAGTATGGCTGATACACAGACTACTGGACACTCCGGTGCAGGTCTGTCTTGTAGACATTTGTAAGGCTGACAGACTACACAGGGCTGCTATACCGCTCACTTACTTCCATCATAGATGAATAGAGAACATTCTAGTTAACATGTAGACTGTAGGCTGGGCTCTGCGGGGTGTCTGGGATGACTCAGACCTCCTCAAGAGATCAAGATTCAAAAAGAATTCATGAGTAATAGCCTTCAGAATTCTCCAAAGACAAAGGGATTGAGATATGTGTCCAGTGAATGAACAAACAGTCTTATTTGTTTCCTGACCTCAAATGACACTGTTATGTCTGTTCTAGGCCACTGTGCGTCACCCTTGTCTTCAACACAAAGGGGCAGAGGTATGTGCGTGTGGGGCTGGCAGTGCCACTGTTCGGGTCGCTCTCCCTCCTGAGGAGTATGGTGGCTGAGGAGGGAAACCTGTCCCCGGATCAGGTACAAAATATTGCACACTGATTAGATCCGTGCAATTATAGACACAAATGTTTTTGTTTTGACCAATATCCAGGGCTGAGCCAAAAGGGTAAAGATTATAATATCAAATGTTGTAGTTTATGATCATTGAGATTAACTTAAATTAAAATAAAATAAAAGATACGGTTTTCACCTCTCCTCACGCACATGCTGAGGAGAAAGCTAATGTGATTGGCTTCAAATTTGGCATCCTTAAAAAAAGATTGTATTTTTTAAACCAGTACCGTAATTTCTTTTTTTGTATTAATAAGAAAAAAGAAAAAAATTGAGTCAGCTCCATCTAAGGGGAGAAAAAAGAAATCATTATTATTTGTTTCCAAGCTTGCCCAGACTGGGTAGTAGCTCAAGTGGTTTACTTACAGTAGATCACTTGAGCGACTTCTAGGAATGACTTCACTCATCATCCCATATCAGTACAAAGTGTGTGTAACATAGAATGTGCCTGAGGAAAAACTTACATACATTGTTGTTTGTACATTATTATGACAACATACAATGGTGATATTGTAAAATGACCAGCAATGTATATGTGCAATGTATATGTGCAATGTATATGTGTCGTCCAAATGTCAGCGACAGAGGAACAGGAAAGGTTGTCCAGCTCTGTGCTCCAGTGCTTTTCCTCCTTTATAGGTCAGAAGCACCGGACAATGAACAGTACCACACCTTGTTGCAGAAAGTAGGACTATTATGTTTCATTTAGCTTATCTTCTCTCAACATTCATCATTCATTTGCTCTAGTTAAAATGAGTATTCAGAACAGATGTATGTTATTTTTGTTCTGTGAATTGTGTTTTTGTGTTCTGAAATAACCATCTTGATTGATTGGCTATTGTTTGTTCCCCAAACCTCCTGTTAAAGCACAAATACTGACAATTGTTTCACCTGTTTGATAAATATTTGTTCAACACTTGGCATTTGAAGAAATATGGTTAATCTGAGGTATCTCGCTTATTTTTAGGAATTCCATTTTGTTCATCCCAACAGAAAAAGTGTTATGTTGCAAACAAATCAGACCAAAACATGCTGCATATTTGACAACATTTGATATTTTTCACACTTTGTAAGAAAGAGCCCTGTGAGCCACTATTTGAGGCTTTGAGCAGAGATCTGATTGGCTGAGTGAGGGTGGTCCTCTCTTTTTGTTTACTTTTCTGTCTGAAGAGCTGATCTTAAGATGTGACTGAAGGCAAAAAGACATGCAAAACTAGTGATGGAACCAGAGTTGTTGGTGATATGAAAGTTAAGTAGCCAATTTAATAATAGTAGTACTTGTTTGTAGCTGTCCATCGGCAGCTCAGACACACAAAAACAAAGCCGAATATAAGTAGCGTTAAGTTTTTCCGTGGATTGATTGAGATGGCTGATCAAAGGTAATCTTTACATCTATTAAAGGAGCAATATGTAATATTTGCATGTCAAGTCATCATTAAATGACCCGAATATTTCAAAAGGCATTAATAAATCATGTTCTTTTCAAACACATCTTTAACTGATAACAGTAGTTCATCCGAGATATTTGATAATTAAAATTAGTTTTACGACCCGTAAAAGTTGTTATTGTTTTGATTTTGATGTCCTACCCTCCGCCGTTTCGCCAATCAGGAAGTGTCATGTAAGTCCGTGATCGGGTTGCCAGAACTCCGCGCGGCTCACTAATCTCAGAGGTAAAATAACATGTGGCGCAGAACTAAAAAAGGTCTTGTTATGACTCTCAAATCATTAATGACAAAACAAAGACTAAAACGAGGATTTATATCGGGACGCCTTTGAACAATTGAGACAGCTGATAAAAGTTTTCGTGTGATGCAGAATTTTCTAGTTTGAGTCCGTTCTTCACAGTGACTGTAACTGTGTCAATCGGTGGTCTAGTGGTCTAAACTGGGCGCTTACGATGCAGGAACCCGGGTTCGATCCCGGGCTATGTCTTTTTGTATTTATTGCATGTTATCACATTCTATGACAGATTGCTCTAAAAACGGTAAAAGACGAAGGTCAAGACGTTTTTTTGCAGATTATAGCTTAATTGTAAAAATAATAATTTGAGACCACATGTACCCCAATTAAAATAATGTTAGTCTCTTTTTGATGTGGGACTTTTACATGTTTGTCTAAAAAATAGGGAATAAATAAAATTGAAAGGTGATATCCTCTTGAGCAAACCCTGATGTTGATACGCTGAAGAAATACGTTCCAACATCCATTCTTCCCACTCCTATTTTGGACATCAATTGCTTATGTATTTTGCATAAACTATGTATAATTACATTGCTTTTATTTTGTTTTTGTTTTTTATCTCAAATGTCCAAATAATAATAATAAAAAAACATGGATCAAAACATTCATTCAGCATTAGCACGGCTGTCATGGCAATGTGAATGGAGACGGACAAACAACTGATACAATAATTCCCTGTGTTTGCTGCTGTATTTGGTGTGTATCTGGCAACCTGAGTCAGGGAGAGTGGGAGAGGACTACAAAATATTGACTGTGACTGCAGTACCACTTTTGGTCAGATTTTTACATATTGTTCCTTTAATTTCATTTATTTATTATTTTCCGGTTCTTACAGGATTCAGTTGTTTGACATCAATACATAGATATACATTTTCCTCTTCACCCCTATATAGACCTGAAATGGAGTGGGAAGAAGCAAGACTTATAAACTCCCACTCCATCTACATACACACACATTCACTTTGGCTGCCTGGTTTGTAATAACACTACTATGTCAACAACAATGACAGAAATTATATTTTATAGTCATTACTGTCTATCCTCATTCTCGTCACTATCATCATGTTTATGTTCTGTACAGTCATGATGATGATTATTATTATTATTATTATATACTACCAGTTACAAGTAAGTAAGTAAGTAATCTTTATTTATATACCGCCTTTTCACTGCAGATCTGAGTCTCAAAGCGGTTTACAATTGTTAATTTTGGGCATTTGTCTCTCACTCCACACAGAGATGGGAGCGGGGGCCAGTACAGGAGGCACATGCCAGAACTATTGGGCATATTTTTAGTGGTAGGGGAAACCGGAGTACCCGGAGGAAACCTACGCACACACGGGGAGAACATGCAAACTCCACTCAGAAAGGCCCTGGTCCGACCGGGATTCGAAACCAGGACCTTCTTGCTGAGAGGCGGGAGTGCTATCCACTCCGTCACCGTACAGTCACATTTGTTTCCTTCTTTGTGACAAAATGAACCACAGTTGCCAACTCGCACCAGCAGATACTTTCAACAAATGCTGTAAGAAAATATGTATTTATGTTCTTAAATGGTTTTGCAGGTGATTCTGTCTGAACTGTACTCCACCGGGTTCCAGCGTTCCTTCTCAGATAACGATGAGCTGACGGCCATCGCTGACAGTGACGTGATGTACGCCTTTCAGGCTCCTCCCACCTATAACCGCTCCGGCTCCTCATCAGTCTCAGGTATTCCTTCTGCCCAACATCACTGCTATTTTTATCCATTTTGAACCTCATTTTATCATTTGTTTTTGCCCCAAAGCTCGAAAGACTTTCATAACTATCTCATTCTGTGTTTGGCATCCACTCTCCTCTTCTTACGTTTGCAATAAAAGCAACTCAAACTGCGTCTGTGTGGCTTTCTCACCCTTATCTCTGAACTAAATCCCTGCCTCACAGACAATAACATCATAACAAAACATTCTCATGGAAAGATGTGGTCAGTTTTGTCCCAGAGCAACCTGTTAACGAAGCCGATACGATCTTCCTTTGCCCCTCAAGTGGAATATCATTAATAATTCATATTTGCGCTCAATGAGGATCATAAATAATAAAGCCAAGTCACTTTCTCTAAGCCCTGATCTTTTTGATACTTTTTGAAACTTTTAACAATCTGGTAGCTTTGTATATTCACACAGTATGATGAGCTAAAGCACACACAGACCCCCTGCGTGTCAAGGAGGTGATTAATCTATTAAAATTACAGTAGAGAGCCGCATTACAGCAAAACCTGCTGGGAAATACCTTACAAAGGAAATAAAAGAGTGGGAGAGAGGCATGTAGTTTACATAGAAATGCAATGAATCGCGCCTGAGCGGGCCCCGGCAAACTCATCTGGTGCAAATGATTAATGTTCCCTCTTCAGGATAATTTGTAGATTAGAGTCCGATTCCAGTACATCATAACTTAATTCTCAAGGATTCCATAATTTACACATCGCTGCAGTGAAAGCGATTCTCTGATGAATAAGGAGCACAAGTATGCAACTATACTGTTTTGTTTAAGGCTCAAAATTAAGCTGAGGTACCTTTTTTTTCATGAATGATATATTTTATTTGTTCCAAAAGAAAGAGACTTGAACAAATCAGACAAAAATGGTTTGAGCAAATCAGACCACAACATGCTGCTATTTTATTTAGTTTATTACACAAACTGGATAACGATGAAAGTTTCCTTTTGAACTTAGTACAAATGGGCACGCAACAAGGACGTTTCTAAAATAAACTATTATATCTGCCCTAGAGGTGAAGGAGGTAAGAAGCTGCTGATACTGAAGAATAACATATTGTTTTATAATTTCCATTTGTAAACTTTATTTCTGTAGTTGACACACTCACTTACTGCGTACATTTGGTTTTCGATTCTGCACCAAAGCACCAGCGCCCAATGAACTCCCACATCTCCGAGTCTGTTTACTATGACGTGTTAAAGCAATGCATAGTAAGTAGTTGTTTGTTTGTTGAATTGATGAGGAGCAAACAAAGTCAACTGTCAAATACAATAATGATCTCTGGAAACAGTCTGGTTTGTTTGTTCAATTAGCATACTGTAATGAGCCCACCACACTTGTCAAAGTCCCACTCCACCTGCGTTTCTGGGCAAACCATTTAACTGGAAGTACTATGCTAGGTTTGATACAGAAGAACTGGATTGCGAGAGAAAGTGTGTACACATGTTTTTATCTTTTTAAACAGCTTACACAACAACATGGCAAAGCTTATTTGCCCAACAGAATAAGATAATGCTTTAAAATTATGTTGTTTTCCCTTCTACATTCTACAAAAACAGTGAGGTAGTTATGTGTCTAACCAATATGTTGGCTGAAAGAATACCCAAAGACACTTCAAATGGTATTAGTGCATTCATTCCCTGCACACTGATGGGGCAGATGATGTTTGAGGCAACTCATCTGTGTCATTGCCCCTTCCGACCAGACTCATACTACACCATGTGGGTCGTCTTGTCAAGGACACAATAACAGTTTGGCACTTTACAGCTGCCGCCAGCCTAAAGTGGCTCCTTGTGTTCCCAGATGTTTCCTTTCACAGTTATCCAAGGACCTATTACTAACCAGGCCCTGCCCTGCTTAGCCTCAGAGGTCTGACAGGGTCAGGACTTGTTGAGGTGAATAGTGCTCAAGATGTGAGACAGGCCTCCTCTCTGACAATGTTTAAAACCAGGTTAAAAACAGTTCTGTTTAGCTGTGCATACAACTGAGGGATTTAATATTTTTATCTTTCTTTTTAATGTTCTGTGATTATTTATGATTTTAATGCTTTCTTATTTTGTTCAGCACTTTGAATTGCCTTGTGTAGGAATTGTGCTATATAAATAAACTTGCCTTTCCTTGCCTTGACTGTGCGCATGGATCCCAAAGCTAAAAAGAGAAGAGTCGATAATAAGACTGGACTAAGAATGAAAATTAACATTTGTTTTCAGTCAATGAGGAAGGCCTGCTTCATGTTTGCGATGTAATGAGAAGTTTCTATGAGATAATTGTATCTGTGCTTAGAAACAACGAAAATGGCCGCTTGGGGTGGAGTTGAACCTGTGTCACCTGGATGGTGACACCTGTTCTGAGGTGCGTCTGAGAGCACCAAAACAGGTTGCTCTCAGACGCATCTCAGAACAGGTGTAGAAGAAAGGCCCGTGGAGCTACAAATAATGAGACTCAGACCCAGGCTTTGCAGTTACGCTTTATATAGGCCACAAATTAATGATTTAGATGTAAAAATTAATTATTTGAAAACACGATATGTCCACTTTAAGTCATTTTCATCAAAGACAAATGTGAACAGAGGAAAATCCTCATCTGGTGGCACAGCTTTCTGTCCTATCCTGATAACTAAATGATAAACACCACATCTTTTGGCTTTTGTCGTATATTGAAATGCTTGGAAAGAGCTTTATTTGAAGCATTTTCTGTTTTGCTTTTGGTTAGTGTTGAGAGCATCAGGTGCGTGGTTCCTAATCTCTGTCTGAGTGTTTGGTCCTCGTCTGGGGCTTTTGTTCCTCTGTTTTTCATCCAGTTGGTGCATGGTCTGCGATCTTGTTTCCAATGCCTTCTGGGTATTTCCCGTCAGGTGGCTGCGTGGCTCTGGCAGGGGTCACTCATTTGATATGGGCCTCACAGGGTTTGTTGCTCTGATCAGTATGCAGCCAGCCTCGTCTCTGTCCTTTTAAATGTGTGCACGACTCGGCTCTTTTTTGTGCATTCATAATCAACAAGGACAAAATAAGCTCTTTTTATCTCTCAAGCAGTCTGATAATATTTTCAATTAAACGTTCAGTGCAGGTTGCTGTTGTCTCTCTGTGTCCACCTATTTTACCCATAATGTATGTTTTCTATTGCTGTTTTTATGGTTTTGCTTTGTGAACAAATACATTTTCTTAACTCGACCTGTATTATGTTCTTAGTCTAAACTTTCTGATTACACTGTATTTATTACTTTCAAAAGCATAAACCCAGAAGCTGCCCCCATTTGAACTTTTTAGAAATGTGTTTACATATATGATTAAACACAATGCACAATGCACTATTGTACTGTATATACCATTGTACTACTTTGATTTTTACCTCAAGGCTTATAATAGTGTTTACAAATTCTATCCATACATCTATAATTATGTAATGTCCTCTAAATGTAGTATTCATTTTACCTAGTATAAACAATATCTTGAATTCCTTGAGGTTCTTCAACTAAGATATCAACATATTCCTTTGATTGTATAAATGCCATACGTTCACAGCTGTGTTTAAGACGAGCAATATACAAATTGAACAAATGAAAGTATGTTATTTTATTTCAAATTGTAACGATGCATTTCCCTATGGTAGGGTACCACCACAGCCTCCCCTCCTCCCCGTACTCCTCCAGTGCTGATGGACAGAGATTGCCCTCGTCTGGAGCTGTGTCCTCTGAATACTTAAACCACAACTCGTCTGCGAAAGTGCTGCTGCTCATCTGTAATACGGCCGGCTCTGGACAGCAGGCCGTCAGGTGAGCTCTCGTTTACAGCCACATGCATTAGTGACTTCTGCTTTTGACCTCCAAACTCACGCTGTTCAGACTGGGACATCTTTAAACTGATCCAACTTTAGCAGCAAGCTGACTTTGTAGAGTCATGTCTTTCAAACTAGAAGTGTTTCTAAGTCAATGAAAATCAAATACTGCTTTATGGAGGTGTGTTTTTTCATGGAACAGGCAATATGATGAGTATCATGATACAAATGCCATGAATAGATATTTTATGATATATCCAAAACAACTGCCTTTTTTATCAACTGACAATTATTATATATCCCAACATTGGAACTGTATATACAAGGACATTAGAATTTCTTTCAAGGTATTGAAATATATTTTGTTTCAATACCTTGACACATAGGTAAGACGGTACTTCATTAAAGGTACTTTGCGCACCTTTTTAGATGGGGTCCACCACTTTGTATAGCAGTGGCACAGTGGCTGAGTGGCTAGCACTCAGGGTTTAAGAACTTTTTGTACGGATGCGTCATGACCAAGCCGAGCATCAACATCTTGTGATAGTTTCTTCGGTGTCCAAACTCACCCTGTGATATAATCTTAGTGGCATTAAATGATGGGTCAAGACGTAACCAACGCTAACCTACTGCTCAATGATTTAATGTGAAAAATATTAGGTTTTTATAGTGCTCAAAACACTTAATTGTCTCCTATCTATGTGAGTTTAACACTTTACAGTGGAAGTGGCTCTTTTTACTTAAATAAAGACGGCTGAACCTCCACCAGTTAAATGCACCTTCAATGATTCTTACGAACAGATCTCTGAGTGACAGTGCTGCCATCTACTGTCCTGTGGCAGAACAGACTACTCACTAATGGCATAGAAATTCCTTTGCATTGTTGCATTCTAACAATGTAGCCTTCTGTGTGTCAAACTACACACAATACAATCAAATACCCATATCCCATGTCAGTGAATCTCAATTTACTATCTCAATGTTTTGTGGTGTTTGATTTGTTTGATGTATTGCTCAGACTTTTTGGATTACAATTTTATATTATCTAGTCGTCTGACAACTTAAAGTTATTATATCATGCTCTATTCACTCATATTAAAAGGTTAGTGTAAAAACAGTGCCCTGCATGTGCTTTTCTAGTTATTGTTGTTTCCCAGTGTTTCCCTGTATGATATTCAACTGGGGTTTCTGCCCAGACATGTGACGCGTACTTGTGTTGCGTTGCAGGTTCGGGCCCCCGTTCCTCATGCGGGAGGACAGAGGCGTCTCCTGGGACCAGCTGCAGCAGAGCATCCTGAGCAAACTCTATTACCTCATGCTGAACGGGCCCCAGTCACAGGTAATGCCAGCTCTTATTATACCGCCCAGGACCAATGTGGAACCTCCAAATGTCACCCTCTCGAGACGCTTCCTGCTCTTTAGATCTGCGCAAAACTAAGCACTTAAGATTAATCTAAAGGAAAATGGGTCATGTCCATGCAGATGAAGTTATTAAATATTTAGAGTGTGGTAAAATGTAGTAAGGCCAATAAATTAGACCACAGCTTTTATTTAGTTTATAATGGCCTCTAAAATCAGATTACATATGAAACTTTCTGAATATAGTGGTTGATTATTTTGATGGATTATTAAGCACCTGTATATAAACTGCATCAAATATTTTTCAAGATAAAGTACATTTTGGACGCAGGTTTTCATTTTGAATTGAGTGATTTGACACATTGAGTGTGTTTATTTAAATTAAGTTCAATGTACATCAAACATTATTATTAAATGTGAGTATATAGAACAATTACATATTAAAATATTGTATGTGATTAAACTCAAAAAGGAGTGGAAGGAAAAGAAATGACTTAATGATTCCCACCCCTAAGTTAGTGTTTCAAATCAATGGCTGCTGTTCACATTAACACACTGGGAAGCAGGACTGTGTGATTTGCTATATAAAAAGCCAAAATGATTAATATAATACATGATTGAAATCTACAGATATTGCACTAAAACTACAGTAAATGATTGAATACATATAATTGAGTATCAACTTCCCCAGTATCATCGTGAAATGACCTGTAATCAAAGCTTACTAACCATGTGGCTGTCACAAGTCCCATACTCCTTATGAAAAGCATTGGCGCCATCCAGTGGTTATTACAGCACTTTTCATTATTTGTAGCTTTCACAATCACAGTGAGCATTTTCTAACAAAGCTAGTTCACACTATAATCGTTCTGCACATGAAAGAGTATTTACAAACCAGTTCAATTTAATCATTCCAAATACAATGCAAAACCTCTGTTTCCAGCATCTTATCTGCATGCACATCACACACATGTACCTCATCCATCTGTGTTTAAGTAGTGACCAGGATTTTAAGAAACTGGTAACCCAAATTAGAGTCTTGTGTGATGCTATTTCAACTTTCTGGTTGTATAATAATCTCGAGAAACAAAATGTATTGTTAACTTGAATAATGTGGCTGGCATCTACTGTTTCAGTAAGTATAATCAAGAAATATCATTAAGATTTGGATCAGAAAAGTCCAATTGTATTTGTTCACTATATTCACTGTTCTCTTAAGGTTTGTCTGAAAATTAAATGTGAAACAGACAAACGGGGGAGAGATAAGATAAACCTTTATTAGTCTCACAGTGGAGAAGATACCACTGTTTTCGGACTACAAAAAGGACAGTGATAAATAAGATAAACATATTTTTGAATAATATAAGGAAATCTTCGTAGAGAGCCAGGACGCTGAGTGTATATACATTTTTGACTGGGTCCAGTTGAGAGGAGTAATACAAATAGTCTGTAGTCACCAGGAGGGCATGCTGTGGACTCTCCATAGCGATGATGTGCATGGCTTTGAAGGCTGGGGTTGAACTAAACACAAAATCCCAGCTCTGGCATTCACAAAGCAGATATATCTTGTTTCTGTTTTTCAAAGTGCATTCAGTGTTTCTTTGAATGTATAATTTGTTTACATTTTATAATCATACCATGATGCAACAGCTCAGCTTGAACTATGGTCTTTTTCATGTCTTTACAGAATGCCGGGTATTTGTTTAAGATCAGAGTCGTAGGTGGATCGGCATCATATAGCTTCCTATCGCCTCAGGACAACAAGCCACTGTTCCATCCAGCTGTTGACAGGTAAGACATACACCGTATTCCTGAATGTCAAAGGAAGCAAAGGTTATTATGAGTGCTCTGACATGACCCATCCAGAAGTAAAGAGCGTGTCCCGGTCTTATGGGGCAGGACTCCAGACGAGTCTTACGTCATCAGGAGTAAATTCCAATTCCATATATCTATCATGTTCTGCTTTATCTGATGTCGAGTTGTGGAGGAAGTAGTCAAAGCAAATCTGAGAGTCCCTACAGCGTGTAGTCACTTGAGGATCGCCTTCTGGTGGGACATGTCCAACTCTTCTCTCACATTTTCTTTTTCGATCCAATGTGTTTGTGTATTGCCCTAGACCACAACAGCAGTCGTCTTTAAATCTTTTTTTATTAACCTTTTTATAACTTCTTAACACCATATACCAAAAAAATTCCTAGTTTTTGTCTTCCTGTTACATACGATGCCTATGAAAATAATTTGATTCTGAGATGTAAATTAGAGCAACTGACCAATCAGGAGCATCCACTGGCCAAATTCAGTTTTCGTTTGGGAGCAGCTCCTGATTGGTGCGTTGTAACTATGCAATAACTGTCTAAAATTTGGCTCAAATGCCCGTTCGAGCTAGTTCTAATCATCCTCTTCTACATTAAAGCTATCACTATGGGTAATTTCAGCATTTGGTCAGGCTACTCTGAACTTTTGAGAGAGACAATGATGTAGGAGATATGATTTTCCACATTATAATTACTTCTTATCAATCTTATCGTAAAATTCACTATGTTGTTTTATTGGACTCTAGTATTCACAAAATGTTCACACATCAATCCAATCCACTCATGCATAATGAGAACGTGACAGCATCAGATTCAGGAGAGGAATTTATAAAGGTTTCAATCTTGGGCTTAAATCCAGAAACAAACAAGTAAGAAGATAAAAAGTCATAGTTAAATAAAATGTTTTTTAATGAAATAAAACTTTACACCAAGTCAAAGAAATGACTGCAAGGCACAACGCAGTAAAAGAAAATATTAGAAGTCTTGTATTTAAATGGGCATGACACTGACACTGTGTCTTTGTCAGGGGATTTTGAACGTCACCAGAGTAGAAGCTTGTTTCACATTTGCAAGATATTAGCTGCTTACATCTGATTACGCTGAATTCCCATGTTAAGTCCTGAGTCAGGGCACCAGCAGGAGGACTACCGAAGCTGGAGTCAACTGCACAAGGCCAGTCCCTGTGCTCCTCAGCGTAAAACAGGTATAAATACTCCAGCTTCGGTAGTCCTCCTGACCCATCCAAAATGTGGAGATTGGTCCTCGGGAGCTGTACTGTGGGGACCACTTCTCCTGAGCAGTGATGGGTCAACTGCATCAAAAGCAATAAACCAGGTCTGAGACCTGAGCACAGGACTAATGTGAGAGGACTTCCTGGTTCTGGTCAACACTTGAGCTGCAGCATTCAGATGTTGTACTACATAGCCGTTATACTTAAGCTGTATTAGTGGTTGATAATGATGATGATGATAATAATGATAATAAACTTTTACCAATACTCAAAGAGCTTGCCATAAGACAAAGCAATGTATTCATTAAGCACCAGTCCTGCAGATGCAACCCAGGGAGCTTATGATTCAGCTGTCTATGACTCAAGTCTTTATCATGTGTTGCAGAGCCCTGAAGTTTTGTGGCCCTGGTGGACCTCCTCATGTGAAGCTTGTCATTGAATGGGATAACAAGACTAAAGAATGGTGAGCTTTGAATGCAGAGATCCTCAATTGTGTTTCTGAGGGAATGTTCCCATATAGAAATTCGCCAAAACAATGTCTGAAGCACTCTGATCAGGATAATACACTATACTCTATCTTGTAACTCTATCTAGAGTAGCAAAATGTTATCAAAGAGCACGCAGAAATTATTACATTTCACACTGGGAGAAATGTCTTGCACTGTTACAAATAGGCTCAAATAATAGATTCAAATATAATATAATCATTCCTTGCTTCTGTGGACTCACCTCCTGCAGGAGGATCAGTGAAGGGCTGGTGCTATGTGTACTGGGAGCAGCTCTGACTGCCACCCCCAGACCCAGAAATGGATTGAGGGGAAGAAAATGGATGGATGGATTGATATTATTGAATTGGTTCCTTTTAATAATTCCTTAAACATGGATTACATGGATCAAATGGCAGCATTTATTTTACACAGAGCTGTCTCTGTGGCGCAGTGATATTACCAAGTAATTAACAGTCCAGGATCACTAATGAGCACTATGATCTAAGTGGATCATAACCCTAACCTTTACCCTGTTATAAACTTAACCCAACTTAATCTAACACATGTATACCTCACTCCCATCTCTGTGTGAAGTGAGAGACAAATACCCTCAAGATTTCTTACTTACTTACTTAACCCAAGTCCTGACAAAGTGAACCCTAGCCGCTGCACTGTACTGAATGTGACTCATACTACAATTAAAATTTTATCTCACGCACAAATCTTTATCTCTTTTAATATATATTTGACTAAAATTTATTCATTGATTAATTTACGTTAAAAAGTAAATGTTATTGCTGTTTTAGCCACAGTCCTGCCTGACAAAAACACATACACAAAAGACATAGTTCCTGCATTTTTATTCTTGGTTGCATCCAAGGAGAGTTCTGTAGAGAACAGAGCCCAGCTCAGCTCAGCCTCCTGTCCAGAACACACCTCCACTTCCACACAAGTTTCACTATGAGACCTTTGGTATTTAGCATATCAATAGTACAGTTACAGGAAGGAGCCACAGAGAATCCAAGAAACAGGCAAAAAGACAAAAGCCCACATCTGCCTGCAACCCTCTCTCGTCAGATTGGCCGCAGCCAACAGTGAATCACAATATACAATATATTTTAGCCACATATTACTTTAATTACATATTACTGCATTAAAATGATAACTTCAACAATATTCCAATTACAGTAAATCAATTGCAACAAAAGTAGACAGAATTACTAAAATAATCTATAGTTGGTCAGGAGGTTTTTTCACTTATTTTAAAAAAAGACAGTTTTCAAAGTCTAGCATTATTTCTGAATATTTAAAGCTGCGATTCACAATGTGTACACTATGATCTTCTTCAAGTGGTTTGGTGTACGCTCTTACCTCCCACCAAGAATGTCTTGCTCGGTGCCATGTTTCTGCCACATGCACAATAGAAGTTCAGAATTAACCCTCTGGGCGCCACGGTTGACTTGAAGTCAACAATATGCAGTACTGTTTAAAACTGTCAATTGTGTAAAACAGGATGTCAACATTCATTCAAACTCCCTGCCACACAATGATTTGCACTATTTTACTATATGTCACTGACTATAGAGTGTGGTACAATGTGAGTTGTGTTTGTGTCTTCATCTCCTAGTGATTTGTTTCTGTCAGTAAAAAATAAAAATACATTAATATCCACAATTGCCACCACTATGTGAAGTCATAAAAGGCAAATGTACCCATCTAAATTCCTACATAAACTTTGGGCCATCCTTAAAATTCTCTACATTACATAAAGCCTCTATCTCTTAAATCTTTTAAGTTATTAAGAAATTTAAAGTTGAGCCTCTTAAGAAAGTCCTCTAACCCTCAATTTGAGCTTTTCTTTTTTGATTCCTAAAGCACTTTGATCTACCCTATGTATACTTTCTTCACAAATAAACCTGCCCTGCCTTTTTTTGGGGTACGTTATAAATGTTTTACCATCTCACTATAAATGCCTATAGCCATTGCACACCTGTATACAACCTTTAAAAATACAACTGTGTTTTTGTGTGCAGTTTGTTTGGGAGCATTCAGGAGGAGGTGGTGAAGGACGCAGAGAGTGTGAGGACTCAACAACAGCAGCACCTGCAGCAGCACACATGTACCCTGGACGAATGCTTTCAGCTCTACACCAAAGAAGAGCAGGTGGGATAACTAAATGCACCACAACGAAACAACACATAAATGCACCACAACAAACAAGCACGTAAATATAGATGTTTATCAGCAATCAAATACAGACATTTCAAGAGAAAGAACACACACTTTAGCACCTTTGGCACGCTCTAGCCTCAAGACCAGTTGGTGTCATTAAAGATAATGGATAAATGTGAAAAAAGTAACATGTTGCACTGCAGGATGTCCAACTTCAAAATCGCTTCCATTTTCCTTTTTTCTAAATGGAAATCTATTAGGCATTATGAATAAAATTGTTCTCTGCAGTGCTGAAGATTTTGAGGCGTTGTCATTTTAAATATGGATTGAGATGCCCTTTGTGACACGGGTGTTCTTCTCCATAATGAACTATGTCTAATGAACACATTCTTTTCATATTAGTGTGAAGGTGTGTTAGCGTGCTGAGTGCAAAAGGTCTGTGCAGATGAAAGGGATGGACAGAAGGGCCTAAATAAAAAGGGAAATTTAGCTAAAGAGATCTTTTAAAGCAAATATTTTAAAAATAATTCAAAAAATTGAATAACATTAGTATTATTGTACCTATTGTTTTTTTGTTTTTTTTGTTATAGTGTAATTTTATCCAGACTGGCTACCAATATGAGAGCCTCATTCTGCTCTTTGATTGAATCATTATTGGATAAAACTAAACACAAATAATGTGGATTTGATGTCAAATTGTATTTTTAATTTAGTATCAATCCATGTTAAACATTATTTCAGGAAAGGCCAAATATTGGAAGGATGGTAAAATGATTTGTACATGTCGCCCTATTATTAGGGGAAGTAAAGAAAAGATGAAGATGAAAAATTAATATTTCATACATCCCCTTTAAAATGTCGATGAGGAGTGTATTGTAAGTCCTCTCCCGCTGTCACAGCTGGCCCCGGACGATGCGTGGAAGTGCCCTCACTGTAAGCAGCTTCAGCAGGGGATGGTGAAGATGAGCCTGTGGACACTGCCTGACATCCTCATCCTCCACCTCAAACGCTTCAGACAAGTGAGGCTTCTTCACTCAGCACTTTTTACATATACATTAATTACAATGTCTTTCCCTGACAGCAAGAAGTAAAGCAAAGGCGTTATAAAAAGTATGTTCTTCCCTGGATTAATGAAGACATACTCAAGTTAATGAAAGAGCGAGATATGGCCCTTAAATCATCCTTAAAATCTAAACAGATGCATGACAAGCTTAGGTTTACAACCCTGAGAAATAGAGTAGTAAAGGAATTGAGGCATGCCAAAGCAACCCTTTTCATAAATAAAATCTGTGAAGGGAAAGGAAACAGTAAAATGACTTGGGATCAGCTAAAAATTCTAATGGGAAAAAATACCAAAACCCGCGACAATAACATCAAAATATATAAAGATACATGTCTAATAGAGGAAACATTACAAGTGGCTTCTACCTTCAATAAGCATTTTGTGGAGTCCGTTGAAGTGTTATCTTACAACCCACCCACGGACTCTCTAAGTGTGGTGCCGTTAAATACATTTGAACCGGTTTTCTCTCTAAGAGAAGTTTCTCACTCAATTGTGGATAAAACAATAAGGACGCTAAAAAATTCGAAATCATCCGATTCATATGGACTGGATACAATACTGCTGAAGACACACAGAGAAACACTCACAGATCCCATCACAAAACTGATAAACTCTTCTTTCAGACAGTCATTGTGCCCTACTACTTGGAAACCAGCAATTGTTACACCAGTTTTCAAGTCTGGAAATGCACAAGAAGTCACAAACTACAGACCTATCAGCATATTGCCCGTTGTCTCAAAAATTGCGGAGAGATGTGTAGCTGATCAGCTACAGGCCCATCTTAACAACTCTCCTTTCAACCTACACCCCATGCAATTTGGCTTTAGGGCCAACCATTCCACTGACACTGCCACCTGCTTTTTCATTGAAAGCGTAAAGGCTAAAATGGACAAAGGGGGGGTAGTCGGTGCCATTTTCCTGGACTTAAAAAAAGCATTTGACACCATCAGCCATAATGTCCTCATCTCCAAACTATCACTGTTCAACTTCTCACCTGAAGCGGTAAACTGGGTAAAATCATATCTAGAACACAGGACACAAGCGGTCCGGATAAATAATAGTCTATCGTCCCATCGGGCTTACACTGCCGGTGTGCCCCAGGGTTCTATCCTGGGGCCGCTCCTGTTCAGCATCTATATAAACGACTTACCATCTGTGTGTTCTGGATGTGATATTCAAATGTATGCAGACGACACTGTGATCTATGTACATGGTAAAGATAAGGCGGAAGCAGCCCAAAAATTGACTGAAACCATGATTCACGTTTCAGAATGGCTTTTTAAGTCGTGCCTGCACTTGAATTTGAAAAAAACAGAATGTATGTTTTTTTCTAAACAAAATTCTAATTCACCAAACCCCAGTGTGTGTATTGCTGGTAACACAATAAATGTAGTGACACAATACACATATCTGGGTGTTGTCATAGACTGTCATTTTTCTTTCAAGAAACAGGTAAAGAAAGTAAACCGAATAGTAAAGCTAAATTTAGCAAATTTTAAATTCATCAGAAGTAACTTAAACCAGGAATCTGCCATTTTATTTTTCAATTCGATGATAATGCCGCATCTTACCTACTGTGTTACCAGCTGGTCACAGGGATGCAAGACAGCCATGAAGCCTATCCAGTCTGTCTACAAACAGGCGTTAAAAGTCCTGGATAGGAAACCTTTCCGGCATCACCACTGTAGCATCTTGGCCAAATATAAGATGCTCAGCTGGGAAAACCTGGTAAGATTTCAAGATGGTCTTCTGGTTTTTAAAATCTTAAATGGTCTGGCCCCACCCCCACTATCTATTTTTTTTAAGCAGAGCAGCAGAAACACCAGATCTGCTGCCTCTAATAATCTTCTCGTCCCACTGAGAAAAAGTTCCTTTGGCCAATCAGCTTTCTCAGTGCGCGCCGATCAGTTTTGGAACACAATCCCAGTCCATATAAAAAATAGCACCACACACAGGACTTATAAACATACGTTGAAAGCCTGGTTATTGGACAATCAAGATTGTAACCACTCATGATGCATTACTTGCTTTTATATGTTTTAATTACGTGTTTTAAACTGAAATGTTTTAACTAGTTACTCTATATTGTCATGTGATGTAATGTATTGTAATGTAATTGTAATTTTTTGCAGTGCACTTTGATGGCATTTTACACCTTGCCTAGGGACTACAGTTGGAAACTAGCTGTTAGCTAATACTGACACATTTACAGCAATGTTGATTAATGTGTAACGTCCCTATTCAAATAAACTATTAAAGAAATAAATAAATAAAAATAAATCTATTCTGCACACACATTCCATGCCGAAAATAAAAATGTAAATGTCTTTTTCAAAAGATTTTACAAATTATTTATTTTATTTAGTTTTATTTAGTTTTATTTTTTCAGACCCTGCGACTTTTAACGGTTGAATTTGTAAAAAGAAACATTTCTTTTTACTGTTTAATTTTCATTCAGACTAGATTTTTCCCAGGGTACTTCCAAATTTTATGTAATGTGTGCAATAGTGGGAACATCGCCTAAGTATATTGGGTCGACAGGAAATGTATGAGCTGAACTTTTCAGGAAGTACGTCATAAACAAAATGATGGCAGGTCAATGTCTAGAAAGGTAAATGAGAAAAACTCACCATTATACCTTGACTTACCTCTATACATGAAAATTGTGAATTGATTATTATCCAATGCCATATTAGTTTCACGTGATGTTTGATCCATATAATAAATCAAATAGATGGATAAATGTTCAACTTGATGGTACATGTTGTATCCACACTTTCAGATGCTCTGAGGTAGCCTAGTCACCTTTTCTACCACTGCAGCTTGGTTCAAACACATTCATTTCACCAATCCTTACCATGTTACTGTCTTACCATCCTGTTTACTCAAAAGATTGTTTTCACAAATTCCCTATTCTTTATATTGTGTTTTGCATTTTACTAAATATTTGATTGTTTATGTTGGAAATACAAGAAACAGCTTTTTATTAGAATAAAAAGAAATATATTCCGATCACGTTTTTTGTTTCATTCTCAAATCATCAGAGCAAAACTGGGCCTCAGCTCCCAATTTATTTCAAATCCAAGTTTTTGAAACCAAAAGACTGGAAAGATATCAGGCATTTCAAAAAACATTTGTTGACGCTGCAGGTTGGCGAGCGCAGGAACAAGCTGACAACGCAGGTGCGCTTCCCCCTGTGTGGGCTGGACATGGCTCCGCACGTGGTCAAGAGGAGTCACAGCATGAAGAGCCTAAACGGCCCCCCATCCTGGAGGCAGAGTCAGCAGCCTGGTGACTTCACCTTGCCGCACGATTATCTCTACGACTTATACGCTGTGTGCAACCACCACGGTGGCATGCACGGGGGGCATTACACAGGTGACACAGCCTTTTGTCATATGTAACATAGATATGTCATATATGTTCTTATTCAAATGCATGCAACCTTTTAATGGCCATCATCTGCTTGATGACTGTGGATTCAGAACCACTGTTCATGCTCTCATTGACTCAGTTGAAGATGAGCGGGATTGGCCACAGGAGGCACATGCCCGACCTTATGTACATATTTTTTTGTAGTGGGAAAAACTGGATCACCCATAGAAAACCTGCATAGACACAGGGAGAACAATATTTTCCACACAGAAGCCCACCTTATGAGGTAGAATCGAACCCAATTTGAGTTTGATCAATGAGTTATTTGAGTTTCACTGTGCACTGTAGGTTAGTACTTGTGTCTCTACTTCATTCTAGTGAAGCAAAAGCAATTAAAGAAACCGCTCGACCACGCGCATACCATTAATGTCCCAGGAGAATTTTACTGCGGCTGTAAGAAGGTTTAAACGTCACCTACACTTGGCTTGTTTAAAGAGACTTCCTCCCAGAGTTACAGCAGTGGGATCTGCATCGGTTCAGAAGGTGAAAAAAAACCATTGGCGTAAAAACAAACTCATTAAGAACATGTTCTATAATGTAACCTACACTTTGCTTCAAAATGTGCATTCAGAGTTACCAGGACAACATCATATAAAGAAATATACGTCCCTCACAACACATTGAACTTGCGCATTTTATCATTATTATATAATTTTTTACAGTAGGTTTACCAACAACTGATAGGACAACAGTGAAATGAAGGCAAAATGAATCATTTTTTGACGCTTTGTCATAACTTCTTGTAAACAGCGTACTGCCGCAACTCTGTGGACGCTCAGTGGTACAGCTACGACGACAGCAGTGTGGATCTGGTCCCGGAGGAAGAGGTTTGCACCAGAGGAGCCTACATTCTGTTCTACCAGAGGAGGAACAACATACCTCCATGGTCGGCAAGCAGCTCCATCAGAGGTAAAAGTTTGTTTATTTGCCCTAGTTTCAACGTGACATCAGTTTCAAAGGAGTGTTTTTGAATATAACATGTGGGACAACACAAAATAAACAATAATGCAAAGATTACTTTATGCCATCCTTAAATAATTGTAAATTGTAGCCTGAGGAAACCTATGCTGCCGTGTGCGCTCAAATCCTTCCTAACTGCACAACAGCCTGGAAACCCTGGTCGATATTTTCGGGACCAATTTCAGAACCGGGAAGGACAGCAAGACAATGACACACTGTTTGATGAAAGCTTGTTGTTTGTTTATGGATCCAACATGACGGCAGTAATCGTTTGGCACCATTGTGTAAACGTCAATCGTCGTCTTTGCTTCTTTCCTTCTCGTCGTATTTTTTTGTCGTGTTATTGGGTTGAATTGATTCACTTGTGATAAAATATAATTTTATGCATTTTTAGAAATAAGCATAATCCACTGTTGATAAGACAGCAAGTGAGGGAGCATGCACCTTGTACCAACCATATGTTTGGTGGCTATCTTTAAATTTAACTTTAAAGACTAAATTTAATCATCTTAGATAATTAAACTACACAGTAAGTGATCTCTTTTTAAGTAACCACAAACTGTTATAACTTATCTGTAGCTTAGGTCTTGGATATATAGCCCGTCCATCCATGGGAGCTTATCCCTCTCTCAATGTGGGTCTCCCTGAGGTTTCTCACTTTTCTCCCTTTGGGTTTTTCCTTGCTGATGCAGGGTGGTCTGTTGGACAGTTAGTGTCTAAGAAGAAGGACTCTGGTGACGATCCATGTATGGAAATGTATCAACATTAATGGACATTGGTCTCTCCCTATCGACCAATACCTATGTGTATTATATATTTTTTATGTTTTAACTGTTGATTCTCTGATCTGTGTTGGTGATTTCAATGGTTTTGTTAAGTCCTCTGAGATGACTGCTGTTGTGATTTAGGGCTATACAAGAATACATTGTATTGAATTGTATTGTATCTGTAAAAACAATTTAAAGGTGCTGAAATGCAACAGGTGCATTTGCCTGATTTAAAAGATATTTTATATTAATCAGTAATTGTTTTTTTCTAAAGGCTCCACAAGTTCATCCATGTCAGATCACTGGCTGATCCGCCTGAATGGAGACAGTAAGAGAGGAAGTCTTGTGTCTTCCACCGCCTGTCTATCTTCCTTACCGGACTCTCCTGTGTCTCCAGTCCTTTCTGAAAGTGACTCCAAGGAAGAAAGAGGTAACCAGTGTTACATTGTGCTCAGTGTTTATATTTCAAAATATTTCTTATGAAATTCTTCTGTTCTTCCTCAATCTTTAAGGGGGATTTGAGAAGAGGCCATTTGTGCGTGGTCTCCAGGGTCGTAGCCTGAGTTTGAGAGCTCCAAGCAAAACCAAGGACACATTAAGCAAAGTTCTTCCTCTACGCTGGTCCCTGGGCTCCAAAGACCGCCGTAAACATGAGCCAGCAGCACCTTCAGTCCAGGAGCCTGCACCGGTGGAGTTGGTCCAGTATCTAGAATCTGGAAGACGGCCAAAATGCACAAAGGATCCAATAGAGTCCCTGATGACTGGACCAACCAACACCAGAGAACGTGCTCAAGGCCAATCAGCCGGAGGTCGATCCTTCGGCGTGGCTAGCATGAGTTGTCTGGCTAAATCTAGAGAAGATTTGGTGTGTGAATCCCCGCAGGTGCCACAGGGGCAGCGCAGGTCTTCTGAGAAAACAGGAAGTTTAAGACGCTCTAAAAAAGATCCTCTCAGAGAGGAGCCAACTTCTATCAGCAGTAGTTCTAGTAGCAACACACTGACCAGAAGAAAGGACCCAAAGAAACAACACTCCTTTAAAGACACTGAGTCCAGGAGAAGCAGTGCTGTACACGCGAGCTACAGCTCACCCAGCCTCCATGAAGACACTTTGGGAAGAAGCAAAGGTGAAAAGACAGAGAGGCGTAATGCTAATGAAGGACACTCTAAAGTGAAAGGAGACTTACCAAAAAACCAAGAGGGGCTTTTGTCTTTCCTCAAGGGAAATTTTTTAAAGAAAGACTCCAAAAAGTCAAAAGAGGAAGATTCTAAGAAAGCAGAAGAAGGCAGTAGAAGAACTTTGTCTCGATTGTCTTTGTCCAATGGAGCATCTGGAGGTGGGACAGTCGACAAACCCAGATCCAGCACGTCCAATCCTATGGGAGGTGAGCTCGCAAATGGAAAACTGCAAAGAACGTCAGAGATTAAGCGTTCCCAAAGTTCATCCAACATCCCAACAAAAGCGGACCAGAGCATTAGGCGGACGGCATCACTGCATCGCAACGGGATAACATCAAGTGGCCATGCCGCTTCACAAACTGCGGAGCACAAGTCCTCACACGGGACGCTCCAGAGAAGTCGATACAGCACAACCTCCCTGGGAAGAAAAAGGACAGTCCCAGAGTCCAGTTTTTAGTCATTTAGCTTTGACCACAAATGGCCTTTATCTCATGTCGTAGTTGAAAGCAATAGAAGTGCACCTTTTTACATGTACCCAGCAGCTGCAGTTTGTCCGCAAAAACAAAAATCGAGATGCGGCACTAAGAAGCAGAAAACGTAGTACAAACGAGATGGTTAAAAGGTTGGTGGTATTTATGTTTCCATACAATAGCTTTTTAATTGTCCCAATACTATGGGTAAAAGTGCCTCTAAGACTGTAGCCCTTTTTAATAAATGTATTAAAAAGACAAGCTTCTGACAAAACTCAAGCACCTAAAGGGTGCATTGTGTAGATTAAAACACACATACCATACACATTTAACTGTGTTATTAGAAAAATCTGTTTTTTTTAACAGCAGGGGACATATCTCATGCTTACAACATCATATTCTTGGGGGTTTTATAAAAAATCTATATCCTTTACAAAAAATAAATGAGAGCATTCAGGCAGTAAAAAGATAATAAACCAAGTTATTAAATGTGATAAATAGCCAAATTATGACAATATTGTCTTTTGAGTCTATAAATGTCTATGAATTTGCAAATATTTGAAATACAATTACAAATGTTGGACCGTTAAGAACAGCTGGTCAGTATAGTATTTGGTACTTGGCAGACTTGCTGATGTCTCAATCTCTTTTAAACAAACTATATCTCCATTTACTGCTTAACCAAATAAAACCCAGAAGTGCTGCTACTCATTTTTACCCTCACTTTACCCGTGTGAATAACCTTATACAAATATCAATTACTGTGCAGTGCAGTTCCCACTCAATTCTTTTATCACTCACTTGCTAAGACACTATACTACATTGCTATTGTGAGTTTATCTATAGGGATAGTACAACCTTTACCTTCAAGCTCAGAATATCTTTTTGAATATACATAATGTTGATCTGACACTTCTATTCTAGTAACAATGGTGTAAATAGGCTATTAGGAAAATTACGTAATGTTTGTCATAGTGGTCTACTTACTGCAAAAATACATTTTAACCTCTAGAGCCAAATCTCAGCTACAACCTAGCATTCAAAGAGCCAATTAGGAGTGGCATGTTCCTGTTCACACTATTTGAAAGTTAAAGAAGCTATACCAGATTATTTTTTTGTTGCAGTTTGAATGTTTAGCACTTCCCCCCCAACTCTCTCACAGGCTTCTGATTTTGAGAAACCCTCCCACTCTCCCCTACGCTCTCCTCCCACAGCCATCTAGTTCTAGAAGTGATCTGATATGCAAACAACTTCTTGTAAGCTGTACAACAGTCACTGATGAAATGCTAAATCAATGCACTGCTAACAAAATATACAGTACAATAACGGAAAAATTACTTTGAATAACCAACCGTTTCGCGTCCAAATTTAGTCCGATGATAGGATGCACGCTACCTATATTGATTTCTTCTTTGATAATTTTTTCGCTTTAGTTCTCTCTTCTCTTCCTCACTTTTGTGTCTTTTGGGGCGTTTTGTTGTGTCTGCAGTTACAGCCAGAGGAAGTATAGAAACTTTCTGCGCTGATCCCAAGCCGCAGTGATCAAAGATGGCATCCTATTCAAATCAATGGCTTGTGCTCAGTAGCGCATGGGACAGCCATGGTTGACCGAAAGACAGCTATAGGCTAGTAATAACCTGTCCAGATATTATTATAGATCATGGTTGACTGGGCATGGTGCCGTAAAGATGGCGCCGTGGCAAGAGCTCTGGTGTGTGTCGTCTGGTGCACACTGGGGTAGTCTTGCACTGTTTTTCCAATGTGGTTTTACTGCAAATGGCAAATAAATGAATCTGAATCTGAATCTGATCCTCCTTTGGCTGCCATGCTGTTCTTGTTTACCTGCGCTGGGCACGTGCTAGTGGAGGCGGCCTGTATGCAATAGCGCCGCTCCTCGTTGTACAAATAGAGAAGAACTGCGTCATGCAAAGTGTCAACTCAGCACTTTGCATGGCCTGAATTCATACTTTTGCTGAATAAATGAGCTCAATTTATCAATTAAATTACGGTTTTTAACACAACTTGAATGTAGTAATACGCAATTTTATTTTAGAAAATAAATCAGGTATAGCTCCTTTAAGTTGCCCTATCCACTCTCTCCCACATCCAGGGCTACAGTCTATGTTCTTCTGAGCCACACATGCCTTGGCTTGTATAAAACAGTATATTCCCCTTCCAATGTGAACAAAGGAAATGGCATTGTTTACAAAATAATGTGTTCAGTCATTGTTGGGTTGGTATTTGGTTAAAGCAGTTGCTGTGTTGACCAAGGGCTTGTTTACACTGGATTATACATTGTATAGGATTTAAAAGACTTTTTTTTTTGGTTAGTTTTTTAAAAAGCACAATTTTGCACTTTCAAACTCATTTTAGAAGCATATTAGTATTAAAATGTAGGGCATGTTTTATGCGCGATCAGAAGGTCTTGATTTGAGCCAGGCTCGTGCAGCACTTTTATAGGTAGGTTTTTCTATGCACAGTAATAATGGCTATGCTCTTGATTTGCTCATTGTTATTCTAGATCAAGAATACATGTTTTAACACAGAGTTAAACCTCACCTTAATGTGTCTATACCACTGACAATAATCAAATTAAAGAAGTATACATCTTTTGACAAAAAATTAGAACATGCACGTGCTTTCATTATTTACTAACAATTTCAGAATTCCATATCTGATCTTCAAAGGCCAAATTAGGACTGTGATTTTAGGAGAACTTGGGTTGTTGAATTTGAATGTACGTTCACACTTGCTGAAAAGTAGTGAACTGCCCAGGGTACACTTTATTTCGAATCTCCCATAATGAAGAAAAAAAAATGCTAGAACTCTTCTTAACTATGCTAGATAGTTAAGAAGAGTTCAGTCTAATTGGCCCCGAGTGTAAACAGACCCATAGTGAAAAGCATTATCATCAGTTGCATTATTGTCAATCCTTTTTCACAAGTGCCTTTACAAGTTACACGTGTGGCAGGGTGCACATGCAGCACAAAATATGGATTAATAACAATAATGACTATTTTGTATGAATACAAAACAACTTTGTCTTGTGTTTTAAAAAGCCTATGCTATTTGTCAAAGAGGTTGGAAATAAAGCTGTGGTCTCTGCTCAGTCCAACCTGAAAGCTTTTTTGGCTATGAGCTGAAATGTAAGTGATTTTTTAATTGTTTGGAAGTGCATTTTACAGTTGCAGTAAGACAAGATAAAGAATCTCTGTATCATTGATTCTTGATTGTTCTTAATCTTCCATCTAACACATTTGTCCTTTCTATTCACCACAATCAAGCATTGATATAAAATATATGTACACACACACACACACACACACCTCACACTCATTAATGTTTTTGTTGTTTTTTTATTTCTCTTAATACATTTTTCCACATACATAAGTTTACAAATTGACGTATGATGAAGGATGCACAATTTAAAATGTACAAAAATGTAAGAATGAAATCAACCATTATTGCCTGATTCAGTTAATAGTTGTATTATTTTTTGTAATAAAAGACAAATGGGGATATTACATTTGTTGCTGCTGTCTTGTTTGTGAAAGATTCTCATCAGTTATTGCCATACGAATCAATGTCTAGAATACTTGTTTATGATAATACAAGAATGTGAAAAAAAAAAAACACTATTCAACAGTGAAATGTTTCACATAGGACACACACTTTCCGTACACTGTAGCTGGTATTTTAGCCCATTCTTCCCTGCAGATCCCTAGAGGTATAATGTGTTGGGTCTGTTGCTGGGAAACAAATCCTATGTTGCCCTCCACAGATGTTCTGTTGTGTTGGGGTCTGGAGACGGCTTGCAATGCTTCCGAGGGAGCCACTCCTTCGTTTCCAGGGAGCTGTGTTTTGAATCATTGTCGTGTTGGAAGATCTTGCCACGTGTCAATCTTCAATTCTGGCAATCAGCATTATTTGCCCTAAATCTCACGACATATGACCCTATTCATCCTACCCCTTATACATCCTATTATCTTTCCAGAGAAGCAGCCAAAACCTATAATGTTTTAGCTCATGGATAGTTTCCATTCGCCAGTATGATTACAGATAATCAGTGATGGGCACAAACGTTTCAAGAGAATAGTGGTCACTACATCATAATGAAGACCAAGGAAATAATCAGAGAAGTCTGGGGAGAAATTAAAAAAAATTTTTTTTGGATATGCAAAGATTTGAACATCTCTTTGAGCAAGGGAAAGAGAATCGCACAACTGCAAACCTACTGAGATGCAGCTGTCTGGCTAAAATAACAACTTGGTGGGATGCAGACGGGAGGATCGAGGACCGGAGGAGTTGCAGACATACACAGCTCACAAGGAATATATACAGGGAATTTGGAAATCCGGAGTAAGTTGCAATTAGGGCTCCAACTTAATGTCTCAATTTGCATTTTTTATATATTTTTTATAATGAAATCATGCTACCATGGCAGAGACATAATATTTAGTGTATGTTACCTTCTGGATAGCAAACAAAGTAACAATGACTTTAACAACTGGAGCTCAATGTTTGACATCATTATCATTAAATTATGGACTTGGTGTCCAAAATTAAGACATAAAACAGGACAAAAACATTATTGACAATACAACTTACTCTTGAGCACAAGAAAAAACATGCATCATTGTTTTTATTGAACAAATAATCACAATGTATTACATATAGGCTGCCCATAAATAAGTGTAAATGTTGAATCCATATTAGATGAATTTAGTGTCTTGAGAAATGCACATTTAAGCATGGCTCGTGGCCATACCTGCGTGCGAAAGCCAGATCCAGTCAGACTTGTGAAGCTGTGCAGGGCAGTGCCCAGTATTGTGATGGGAGATTTCTGGGAACACCAGGTGCCACAGTGTCCTAATAAAAGACACTTAACCCACATTGCCTAGAATGAGTCTGGTGTGTGAATTTCTGGTGGTGGTAGGAGGGGTTGATGGCATATACTGTTGCCTCGCTTCTGTCAGTGTGCCCCAGGGCAGCTGTGGTTACAACAGTAATTTCTCACCACCGTATTTCGAGTGAAAGAACAATAACATGTGAAGCGTCTTTGAGTGTCCAAAAAAGGGCTCTACAAAACCAATGCGTTAACAAAACTCATAAGCTCACCATTAGGTGCCTTGCATGCATTGTTCTCAGATTTAGATGGATACTAACAAGCAACAGCTGATTAATACCCCAACGACTCATGTTGTTGATGTACAGTTCGGATTTTACTCCTTACATTTCACCCCGTACAGTATTTAGTGGGTTTAGCAGCCCAGATCCCGGCTCCTGCTGTCCTCCTTCAGGGATCATCCGGATGCTGACGCTGCCTCCCTCTGTGGTACTCGGATTCACTCTAAGTTTTCTGTTGATGGGACGCACAGCGCTAAGGAACTGTCTTTTGAAGTTTTCACTCAAGATGATATAGATGAAAGGATTAATGCAGCTGTTTGCGTAGCCCATGCTGATTGCAATGTAGTAGGCATAGGAGAAGACAGCACTGGGCTTGTGCACTCCAAGGTGGACCAGTTGTAGGATGTAGAAAGGAGCCCAGCACATGAAGAAAGCCAAGCAGATGGCCACAGCCATGCGGGTTACTTTCCTAGTGCGAAGCCGTAGACTGCGTAGGGGGAGAGGGGCTACACTTGTTGACATGTGCTTAAGGATCTTAAAGAACACAAGACAAATGACAGCTAAGGGAATGGCAAAGGCAAGAAAGAACTGGTATAATGTGAACCACAATGTGTCAGTGACTGGATCTGGCAGCAGGAGAGCACAGGCCACTAGTCCATCTGAAAGGGTCATGAGTCCAGCATAGAGCCACACAGGGAGAATGGTGAGCATGGACAGACCCCACACTGATAAAATGACTAGTGTAGCCATACACTGCGTACGCACATAGTTGAAGCGAATGGGATGAACCGTCGCCAAGTAGCGGTCAAGAGTCATGGCTGTGAGGATATAAGTGCTGACAATCTGGCTGTTTGAGTCCAGTGCAGTTATGATGGTACACATGGCTCCCCCAAAGTGCCAGCTTCCATTGCCGAGCAACTGATGAATGAGAAAAGGCATCACGAGCAAAAACATCAAGTCAACAATTGACAGGTTTAGAATAAAAATATCAGGCACAGTCTGCTTAGCGCGGCCCTTAGTCTTCTTCATTATGGTGTAAATGACAACACAATTTCCAATGATGCCCAGAAAGCAGATAAGGCCAAAGATGAGAGGCAGGATTGCGCTGGAGTGAAGAGCCCCATGAATGCCTGCTGGATAAGGACAGAGAAACAGTTAGTTGTATGAAAAATGAAACAAAATGTATTTAAAATAAACTTTATCAAGAAAGTTATTAGCCTGGATACTGCAAAAATTTTGTTAAATATTTTCATAGAAACTGCTGCCCACCTGTAGATGAGTTGTATCCGTAACTTGATCCATGGCCATAGGATGGGACATTTTCACAGGTCTCATTTAGAAAATCCATGCGTTAGCTATACATCCAGAAGTATGTTCAAAGTTTTAAAATATGTACATGTTCTCAAATGTTATTTTTCACAAGCATCTGCCAACAGCATTTTCCTGTCTGCAATGTAACCTGCGCTCCTGCTTTTCTGACTGAGCAGAGAGCAACTGCATTTTCTCCCCACTTTGTGTGACGCTGTAGCTGGTGCCGTTTCAGTGAGCCAGTCATCAAATACTCTCTTAAAGCTGAGATACCTGACTTTCACACCACAAATAATTGAACTATGTTATATAATCCATCTAACTCGTTCCTCTATCATAACAGTTTGGTTTATTCATTAGTTTTCACTTCTATGTTTCTTTTTCAAATAGTGATTCACAGGGCTCTTTCTTACAATATGCAATTAATTACATTTTGTCTAATAAGATGAAGACAGCAATTATACACAGTTATTTCTGTTTGGTTAAACACTTATTTATTGGAAAAAAGTGAGTACCCAGCTTTAAATAACTCATGCAAACAAAACTGAAGAGCCAAAAGCACGTTGGTTGGTTGAGTTTACTTTAAATAGATACATAATGGGTAAAATAATTGCCTTCACTTAGTCTGTACTTACTCTGAGTGTCTTATTGTGTTGACAGCCCCCAGATTCTCCCAAAATAGTCTTGGTTGTCATTGAACATAAAAAAAGTCTTGGGCTGACACTTGATTTGTGAATATCCCGCATGTTCACCGATGGTATTTTCACTTATAAGAAATATGGTAATGACATATGATAAATTCTGATTTTTAACATTTGACATTCCTTGAGATTAACGTACAATGTCCTTACCTGGAGTTTCTCTCACAATGCTCACTATGCGATTTGGTGCATTATCCAAATACATATGGTAAAAAATGCTATTATTCAGCTAAAGATTATGCAAAATACAATCAGCAAGCACACAATAAAATGTTGTATGATGAATGAATGAATAATACAGTTATGACACACGTACACACACACACACACACACTCACACACACATTCAAATAGTAGTTTATGCCTGAGGAGAGGATGAAAATGTATATTCAGGATGAATATTCTTTTGAGTGTCTCGAGTTAACATGAAACATGAAGCTGGAAACCATGGATCCATGCGGTCCTCCAAATGCTGTATCATTATACTAATCAACACAATCAAATCTATCTGTTTTATTTTATGTATATTATGTGCAGACCAAAATTACCATTGCCGTTTTCTCAAAGGTCAATACTAAAACGTTGATTTGCTTTTATCATAAAAAGAAAAGAAACGATGGATGTAGAAACCCCATTAAATTAACAGGCTTCATAACTAATTTTTGTTTTAACATAACATAATTTTGTTTTGATTTGGTGTGTGCCCCTACCCCTGCATGTGTGTCGCACAAAACACTTCTGCCATCTAGGGGTTGTTTTTCAACGTTTTGGCTGTCTGTGGTTTCGAAATAAGCATGTTTTAATAATTGTCAATTATCACTGACTAACTGTTCGTATTAGTCAATTATCAATTTTAGGACTTATTCTTAAACTTTGATCAACATGCTCCATTTCCACGTTTTTATTATTCTGACATAAAAGTACACACCAGTCTACAACCAAAAGGTCTACTGTAGTACTCTACTGAGGATAGTTGCGTTTTACTAACATTTTGCTATTTCTGGTTTACATGTTTTTATGTCAATATAATTTAATATAATCTATCATAATTTGATGTCATGAAGAGGCAGCTGGAAACAACCCTCACTTTGCGCATGCGCAGCAGCTTAGTTACACAGCCGCCAGACAGCAGCCATGGCAGATGAAAAACCAAAGGTAATCTTTATTTCATCTTAATTTCCGCCTGTAAGTATAGTTATAGGATTGTAAGGATATGATGTATTAGAGAGAATGGCAAGGAAGAATCATCGCCTTCACCGTAAACGTTGGCGTCAACGTACAAGAACGATTCCAGTCACAAAGTTAGCATAGTGTTAGCTAGCTAACAAAAAAAGCTAACGTGGAGTCTTGTGCCACAATGAAGAAAAGTCACGACAATTTAATACACGCATTGGTCCTTTACGCAGATGGAGTACACGCACATTAATATTCGTGGTTCTTGCTGGTTCGCAAATCCACGTACACGATGTACACGGAGATCGTAGGGTTTGATATATTATTGAATGAATGACCGAGCTGTAATTGTATACTGTATATCTTCTCTGTGCTAGCTATCCTACGTGAATTACTCTGATATGATTTAAATAACCATCAACTTTCTAACTTCTGTCCCACTGTAGGAGGGTGTTAAGACGGAGAACAACGAGCACATCAACCTGAAGGTGGCGGGGCAAGATGGGTCTGTGGTGCAGTTCAAAATCAAGAGGCACACTCCACTCAATAAACTCATGAAAGCCTACTGTGAACGACAGGTAAACTACAATACTATGTTATACACAGTTCACACCAACGCAACTGATCTGCACACTCAATGCCCTTTTTCTCTTCTTTGGTCAAACAGGGGTTGTCCATGAGTCAAATAAGGTTTAGATTTGATGGACAGCCCATTAATGAAACAGATACCCCGTCACAGGTAAGATATTTTTTTTCATAATGTTAGAAATAATTTTACAAAAATGCTGTTTTACCTAGTCTGGTGATTCGAAAACTCCAATTTCCGAAGAGAGAATTTTGACATGATGGTGGTGGTCATGACTAGTTTGACTATAAAGCATTAACACCTGGTTAAGAAGCATAGCAGCTACTTGTATTGAATATTTTGTGTGCTCTTACGATTGTCCTGCATGAGAGCTGCAGCATCAATTTCCCCACTGTGGGACGAAAAGGTTCTCTTATCTTGTCCTAATATTAAACTGTTAAGACTTCTGAAAACATGTCGTATAAAGGCATGTAGTCTGTGTTGTAGGGTTTTAGGTCAATGATCTCATTGTACTTTATTTTGTTATCTACAATTCTATTAGTGTGTGAAATAGACCAGGCTACCATTGCTGTTTTTGACATCCAGTCTCTAGTGCCTTAGCTTTTAAGATAATTATTTCAGACACAAATGTTTTGTCATTTTGCGTAAATACATTAAATCTGCTTTTCTTCCAGCTCGAAATGGAGGACGAAGACACAATCGATGTGTTCCAACAGCAAACGGGGGGATCTTTACTTTGAAGACCATTTTCTACTTGCCATCCTTAAACCTTTTGTTCTTTCTCACTCTTGAACATCTGGGAAAATGCCAGCACCATGGCACAAAGAGGCGACACATTTGTTTAGGTTGTTTTCCACTTGTCTCCTATTTTATTGAATGATATTAATGTATTGTTACAAGTTACGGCTTGTTTAGAGCTTTTCAACATATAAATACCATTGTTTGCCCCGTTTGTAAGTAACTCCTCCACAAATGTAATACTTTCCTGAATAAACCATCATTAACTGTTCAAATAATTGATCAAAACCAACTTCAAGTGGCATCACCATTCTCTAAAAAACCCACACTTTTAAATTGAGTTGGGGGCAGCTAGTAGGATTCCATGGAATAATGTGCTGTCAAATTACGGTCAAAATGCTTTCATGTCATGGTAGTTAACGAGCATGTATACATGAAACAAACTGGCACAGTTCAACACGTTCCTCAGGGTACATGTTAATTAATGTTGATGTTTAGTCCCAGAGACCTAAAGTTTCAATAAAATTCCATCATATAACTTTTCTGTACTGTACTACTTGCTTCAGATTGAAACATTAATCTAGGCTTTTAGAATGATACAAGTACTGCATTTGAATTTAGATGTTCTATTAAAATACATTGAACATTTTAAATTTGGTATTTGATCTGCAAAAAATTTACAATAGAAATACATTGTAGATTTGCCATTTTTGTTTACATATTGTAATTATGTTCAGTAAGAGCAATGATGATTAATACTATTGGAAAACTTGCAAATATATAAAGGCCTTTTTTTATTGTCATATTTCATCTCAGACAGTTAAAAAGACTTTGCACAACTGTGAGCGTCATTCCACACATGATGCATCCTACAGCCACAGCTGCCCTAAGTCAAGTTAGTGTTAAGCCACCCATACTGATGGTGCCACCAGGTTTTCGCAGTTTTTTGTTGGAAAATATTGTAAAGCCGTTGTTGGAAGTTCATCATACTTTGAACTGATTTCTGAACACCACACAGTTTATACACATCTGACACTTTTGTGGTTAACTTATTAGTCGTGGTATCAGTACATTAAGTGTAAACAAAACATGGTGGCTTTCCGTGTTTACGTTTGTTGTGAAAGAGACCGGAAGTGTAGTGAGCCTGACTTCCGCCCGACTCGGAAACACGGGTGCCTTTATCTGAGGTGATGAGTCGATGAAGCGCTGCCGCATTCAGCTTTCTCAGATATTGTGATAATACACCTGTTTTTGCCAATATGACGACGACAAAAACATTTACAGGGGTGGAGCCCGGCGCAAAAAGCAGTTCCAGGTAACTAAAGAGCGGATTATTAAAATGTATGATCTCGACAAATGAAGCATCCTGAACCTTTGTTGTGACGGTCCAGCAGAGTCTGTTTTATAAACCGATGTATCCTTATCCCGTGATCACAAACAGATGCATGGATGCTGCAGACATGTGCGAGGCCTTTCTTTCCCTTTGTGCCTCTGAATCTATAGACTCAGTGGAGCCGACGCCCACATCAAGCTTTCACATATTTAATAATGTGATAAACGGAGCTAGGTGTCCACTGCCCAGTGCATCATTGGGTGGGGCCTATAAGAGCAATCAGTTCACATCCGGCATTCATGGCTATCCAAAAACACTGCTCTGAAGGCCCATGCTCTTACTTAATTGTGGAAGCCTAATTGATATTCACTACACTCGAAATTGAATAGACCCATGAAAAAAGTGGGACAAATATTAGCCTTCCACTCTATTCAATCTTTCTAGTGGCACTTTTTATTCTTGAGTGATGACAAATGTTTCCCTCCATATTCATCATAGATTTACAATCGTTTTTTTTTTTATAATTGGACGATTGTCTTCAAAGTGCATGGATCAGGTCACTGAAATCTCATGAAAAGATTTCAGAAAAAAAAGTTTCTCATTCCAAGTGAGGTTTTTTTTGTTTTTTTTTTACATTCTGTTACACCGTTGACAGGTCTTTTTTGTGCGAATCTTTGACGTCACTTTTTGTCTTTTTGCCACCAATTACAACACTGCTTAAAATAAACCTATGCATTAATTCATTGTTTTTACTTCAGAGTTCTGCGCCCTCCTGGTGGTGGGTCCAACATTTCTTTTGGTGCTGAAGAGGAGAAACCTGTTCGGGTAAACAAGATGGCCTCCAGTGTCTTTGCTGAACCTGAAGACCCCTATGCAAATCGGAGGAATAACCCACCAGGTACACACTCACCTTTATGTGCAAACTGTTACACCCAGTGTAACAGTTCGAGTGAGGGGTCACTCAACATTAGTATGGAAATATTGTAAGATAGGGAAACCCATGATGCAAAACAGAGTGAGGAAATGTGAGTCACTTGTTTATGAAGAGAAATCTAATCTTGCACGTATACAGGGAAGGGTTTTGTCTCTGTGGGATTTGTTTAGTTTGTATCATGTCCTGTCAAAATAAACTGACCACTAAAGGAAACCCCCAAAATGATTGGCACATCTTTCCTTCAAATACAAAATGGATAATTATTAAAGACTGCTATAGACTGGTTTTTGATCTGGTGTTACTCGAGAAGCTCAGTAGTTTCTTAGAAATCTGCATCGTGTCTGTATGATCAGAAATTGTAGATGTCTTAAGTTAAAACCGTAGCATCTTGTCATTGGACTTAGGTTTAGTCTTTGTTATTATATATATATATATATATATATTTGTTTTCTTTTTTTAGGTGGAGCACCCACCGGTGTTCTTTGTGGGGAGTCCTGTGCTCCACTGAGAAGAAGAGACCCATCCAACAACTCGGCAGCTACTGTAAGTATAGAATACTGCAATGCTATGCTCAGCATTATCATGTTGTTGTTAAATTCTATTATTACATAATTCATGTATTTTTCAATTTACATTATATAAACTCTAGAATTATACAATCAGACATTCATAGTAGAAGCAGCTATTTCAGTATCAGGTGTACATGTTTCATAATTGATGTATTAATTACGGGGACAGTTCATATTAATCAAACTAAAACCATAATTTGTATTCATATAATGTAAAATTATGTCTTTATTTTCTAGGGGGAGGAACAGAGCAATGCTGAATCTGGTAAGTGTCTATTAAATACACCCTTAAAATCCATAATTTGTCATTTTTGCTAAATCGCGTTTTTTATTTTTTTCAGAGAATGGTGCTAATGCGGAGTTGTCCCCTGAGCAGCCAGCTGATGATCCTGGAGCAGGTCTCCCCTCCGGCCGCAGGAACCCTCCTGGGGGAAAGTCCAGCCTTATTCTGGGATGAAAACAGCCATTACCTCTGGCCACCTCTTGTTTCATTACAGTGTTCATAGTGTCTGCAGTTATCTACTCTGAGGTCCTGGAATAGTGAAATCCTTGTTTACATCCTAAAGTGCATTATCCAATACCTCTTTTTATGATAACATTTTTTCTACCGTTTAATTGTCTTGTTTTGTTTAAAGCACTTTATGTATGTCTTTTTTATTCAGAGTCACCTGTGCCAAACCAAGAGGGGTACTGTACTAGTATTGCTTTTTTTTATATATAACTATGTGCCCAAACCACAGGAAGAGCACAACCTGGTGATCAGAAACAAGATGAAAAATATGGACTTTTATGCTCTGCTACCCGTTGCATGCAATCTGATGTATTGTGAGAATGTGATAAAACAATGAAAAAAATCATCAACTTAAACAATTCTTGCTGTGCGATACTTGTAGTTTTGCATGGATTCATTCATTTTGTTTTTAAACTGTTGAAGACAAAACTGCCAACATGGATTTCAATAACCAGAAAGGTTTACAGCTCCCGAAGCTGTGTAAACCTGTCGCTAACAAGTGTGTAAAATTGCCCGTATCTTCTAGTTGTCGTTGCCCCCAAATCGAAGTACGTTTTCGAATGAGTCTTTGTTGACTTGTATTTTTCAAGGAAGTTCCGTTGTCTGTTTTTAGTGCAGCGTTATAACTTTTTAAGTGACCTTAACTGCTCACTGATCAGTCCTGTCCTTACACTGGAGAATTGTCTGACATTGTTTAGTTCCTGTCCCGACCTCCAGGTGTCACTGTTGCACCACATTTTGGCATTTTGCAGTACTCCAATAAACTACTTTCCAACGTCCTGGCCTCATGTTATCTAGCCTTCTGTTTGCTCTTACGTCTGTCTGTTTTCCCGTAGACTATAACCTTTACTGAACAATTATTACTGATGCAAATGGCCCCGGGGGAGTGTGTGTGTAGGATGGTGCGTAGGCGAAAAGCTGGTTGAGCTTATTCATTTCGAAAGTGAAAGTACAGCAGCCCATATGTGTCACTCGCTCAAACAAGCTCCAGACAAGCTCCAGACACGATCCTGGAAACTCCACTGAAGGGGAGCGTGTGAGCAGGTTAGTAACGTGTTTCATTGGAAAGCTGTTTTGTCTTATGTATGTTCGAAGTGTAGATCAGTATTTGTGTATATTTTCACCATTCAAAAATAGTTTCGTTGCATAATTTCTGCATTCCTTTCTAGTAATCCAATAGGTTTGACTGTCACTGACCTCTATCTTGTTTGGGATTATTAGAAATATTATAAAATGTTAAGAGTCGTTTTTGCACGCATCTGTATTCTATTCTACCGCAAAGTTCATTGTTGTGCATATTGGTAGCGCTCTTTGCAGATGTTAGAAATCCTTCGGGAGACGCACTGGACGTTTTCTCCCCCCAGAAGCCATGTACACAAGACATGCTTTTTCATGAGATAGACTTGAACTCTGTGGAATTTGGGATTTGCAATGATTAACAAATACGCGGACTGTTGAAGCGGACCACAGTAAGGGCTCCAATCACTTTCACCTTTGATACTACAGAACTGGGGTAAAGTTGAGTTGAGTGAAAATGCTTTTGTTATAATAAATGATTCCGTCATTTTGAAGATCACCATTGATATTAATTCTGAGTTTAACTATGGATGACCTGCTTGTATTTTCCCTCATTCCTTTCCTGCCAACAGACAGGAATCATAATCTCATCAGGTTTGGACAGGTCTGTTATGATGAGATTGTGCTGAGATTTTATTGAGAACATCTACAGTAACCTTTTTTAACCAGAGAGCTACTTTCCCAATACAAAAAAGACAGAGAGCTACTCCTTTAAGCGGTCCAATTAGGTGAGAGCCAGCCTGAGTCATTATATCAAGTAATTTTTTTCATCATCATATATATTCATTACCTGTGCACAAAGTATAATAAATACAAATAATGAATAATACATTCCAAAAATATTCAGTTCATTATTTGATTTGTTTATTTCTAAATCCTTTGGCGAGCTATTGGTGGCTCCTGAGTTACAGGTTGGAGACCCCTGATCTAGAGCAAAGGATTTTTCATCAAAGTGTTATATAGCAACTCAAACAAGCTCAAAAAGTCTATCTAAGCTTCTTACGCTATATATATTTTTCATGTTCATTCGACCAATAGTGGACATTGGATCGTTTCCAACACTGGCTGAAAAAACACTAATCGAGAAAGTTCACTTAAATGTAATGTTCAAGGCTGAAAGATGCCAAATTGTCTTATATATGAACATTTTCTTTTCATATATGCACTTTCACTTTCAGATTGACAACTTAATAGACTGAAGTGAAAAGGCCTGGCCAACAAAGCAAATTTCATTCAAATAAAGAGTTGAACAAGTCAAACAAGTCTAGGCTTGTGAGATTGTAAGAGATTGTCTTTACAAACAGCAACAACATAATTATAGCATTTGCGAACATGATCCAGAGATCAAGGTTGTGAAGATTAAAAACATTATCATAAGGGAAAAGCATGATCACTAAATACTACAATAATACATTATTTTGTACTTTTGTTTGGCTCGTAAACAGACTTACAGGAACATTATTTCCCGTTTATATGTATTTTGTTTATATAGTCCAGTAGTGGATTCTGTTAACAGTGAGATGTCTCCTGAATTAGCATGATAAAATAATGTAAAGTTGCATCAAAATAAAATGTTGCCTTTTTTTCCAGTCAAACATGGCCTCCAGTGGAATTGTCCTTGCAAGTCTTCTCATCATGTCACTAATGCTTAAAGCAAAAGCCTCAAGCAGTAAGTTCATTATATATATAGATCGCTAATATCAGCTGTTACAATGTCATATTTGTCTTCTGCAGAATTTGTGACTGTATCTTGTCTGAAGTCTGAAAATGTGGCTCAATATGGAACGAGCACGCTCTTGGATTGTGTCGTCTCCTCCCCTACAACCATTAAAATTATGTTTGTCAGCTGGAAACTCCCAGAAAATAAAACTCTATCGTACGACATGGGAAAGGTCTCCTCTCCACCTGGATTTCAATTTGCTTCAAGTTTTTGGGATGAAAAAAGCATGAACGTGTCTCTATTGATCAGCAATACTAACCTGGCCCACGCAGGGGTCTATACATGTGGTGTAATGACAGACAAAGAATTTGATAAAGCCAATGTACATCTGATCGTCAAAGGTAAGAATCATTCAAAAACCTCACACAAAACATATACCAATCAAGTGTTGCCTCGTCTACCAACAGAGCCTTGGTAATAATGTAAAACACTGTCATTCAGCCAACTTCAGGTCCGCTAAATCATTAGCAATTATCAATAGTTACAGATAGATAGATTAGTAACAAATCCAATCAAAACTCAGTTTTACAATCCGGTCTCCATGAGTCCATGAGTCTGGTGAACTAAATTGGACCTCTTACAAAAACTTTAGATATACCTCTGCCATATTGAAACACGTCATGTTTTCAAATCATTGCCAGATTAAAAATTCCGAGACATATCACTGTGTTTTTCCCTTTAGTTGTTATTTGCCTTTAATTATCATCTAGCTTAATTTAGTTAATTGAATATTTAAGATGCTTGGCACATTATTCTCTCAGACAGAAAAAAATAACAGTAAATACACTCACATCTACTGAATGAAATATAGTGTTTCGGATTATTCCTAACAAAAATAATGTAAATGTTCAAATTGGAATTATTGATAAATTAGGAGGAAAAGGGAGAGATAGATTACATTTGTGTTATGATTTACTGTAAGTGTACTGTAAGTGTAAGTGTAACTGTAAGTGTAAGCTTGCAATAGCGATCATAAACAATTATAAAGTTGCAACAATAAAAAAAATAGGACATCCCATAAAATCGCAGATTGGTATACTACATGTTCTATTTGATACGGCTGCTCAAAGTCCGATAATAAGGTTGTTTTTATTTTTTATAGCCAACTACAGCAAACCACAGATGCGTTCTGAGCCAAAGAAAGTAACTGCTGATAAGAGTTTCAGCTTGACATGTGCAGCAAAAGGCGGCTTTCCGAAAGGCGATATCCGCTGGGTGGTGGACGGAGCTGCATGGAGTAAAAACCCGGTTGTGGAAGTGAGAAAGGATTCCAACGGCCTCTTCGATCTGACAAGCACACTGACTTTTGGGCCTGACACGCAATTCACAAATTTTGTGTGCGAGGTGTACAATGCCAAAAACGAGAAGGAAAGCCATCAAGAGTTCAACAACATAATCACCGATGTCAAATCTAGTACCGGTATGTCTCATCTCATATTTTTATTGTTGCCTGTGTAGAGATTCAGTTGCAGAACAAGTATTGGTTTAGGAATGCATTAAGGTGTAAATGATCACATTTGTTTTGGGGCTCTATCAATCGATCAATCTTGATTTGTAGAGAGCCTTTCCAACACAGGGCAATCCCCATTTAAAACTCAGTTAAAAATCACACTATTAAAACCATTGATAAAGGCACATGGGATTAAAAAAAACCCCCAAAAAACACATTAACCCCATTAAAAATAGAGATAAAATCCATAAGCCTATAAGCTAATGTTTTGTAATTGAAAGAAAATTGATTGATTGATGGATTGATTGTATATTTTTTCTTTAGTGCCATCAAAATTGCACACACAAAGGCTTTCTCTAACAAAACAGCAACAAAGAATTGCGCCCACCATTTCATCAACCGGAAACATCTGAATCAGTGTTTGTTATAAGAAGAGAAACTGTTTTATTGTATTGTTTCGCTGTTTTTATCGTAGGTGACAAGAACCCCACCGTAATCAACATCGTGGCTCCAGTGGTGGTCATTGGGTCCCTCATCGTGGGCCTGTTAGCGGCATTGCTGTTCTGTCGAAGAAGACAACGTGAGTAACTTCAAAATCCTGATGGAGAAGTGTGTGTATTTTAAAAAAAAAAGTGTTTGTGTGTAAAGGGTGGATTCGTGCGGACAGGACGAGGGAAAGCGCACGCACTGTTTGTTAAACTGGTTCAACAACTCTACTTTTACAAAGCTCAGAATAATGAGTGCATTAGGACAACAATAAATCTTTCGGTTGGGAAAGAGATTATTGTATGAAAGAAGAAATACAGAATTCACCCTTATACATAGATATACTGTATTATACCAATTCATGTCAAGTCCTCCCAGACGACTGCCGTTGCGATCTAGGGCTATGCAAAAAGAAAACAAATTGAATGGAATTTTATATTTCAGATTCATTTGATTTGCCATTTGCAGTAAAACCCCTTTGGAATACATTTGCAAAAGTCCCCAGTGTGCACAAGACAAGTACATAAATAAAACAAATCTAAAAAAAAAAAGTGCTGTGAAATCCATACATACATACAGCAAGTATAGATATTTGTTTTAAACGCTAATAAATATATGTACGGATGCCTTGTAAGAACCAGAATGGCAGCGGTGATGCCATTGTCAACATAGAATAACTAAAATATGATTTGGAGATATTCATATATAGTGTTATGGATGATTCTCTTGTGGAGGGTCACATGGATTGTTTTATTTTGTGTTTCCAAACAGAGGCTCGGCGGCCCTCTGCAGTCCCTCTCATGAGTACGTTCACTGTATAATTTTCTGTAAATCGAATTAATTTAACTTTAAAGCTGTACTCAGTCACTTTTCTGATGGGCGGCCTTCCGTTTACCAAGTCTTTCTGGAGATACAGTTAATTTGCCTTGAATATTCTAAAGCATATATTGTTGTATTTTTGTTTTGGACCTTGTTGCCTGCCTTATATTTATACATATGATCTACTTGGTTCAAAACAGAAATAACTTAAACTATTCAAAGCGTTGTAGATGCTTTGATGTGGGAGTTTTTATTCTTGGGGACTTTGTGGATTTCTCTAATCAAGCTTCAATGATTAATGATTAAAATGAATTGTTTCGCTCATTGTGTCTCTTTCTTTTAGATGCCGCTCCTCCTCTTGATGTGGAACAATGTAAGTTTTTCATCTATACTATTATAAGAAAAATCTCTTAAAGCAGGCATGCCTATTTTTCAATCCACAGAAAAAGGAACTACGTAATAATACAAATTAGTTCTGAGATGCATGTATTTTAGCCGCTGTCACATAGCAGCCACGAGCCACCCTTACTCAACTTAACAATAATTTAGATACCCTAGCTTTAAGAGGTTTGTTGGAATAATAGTAACATAAAATGCTGATTTACATTTTGAGAAGTCTCACCATCAACCTTTTCATGATGGTAGCTGCGTCCTTAGGTTTCCAAAAATACATTTGTATTATTATTATGAATTCCCCACAGTATTTATTCAAAAGGTTTGAATACATGAGCGCTTGGATTTCAGTTCAAAGAAACCCTTTTTAACTTTGTAGTTTTTATTGTTTGATAAACATATTTTATGCTTTAAGGATTATCTTGTGATCATTTCTCAGCAGATTTTTGATAAGACCTGTTCAATCTTTTATAATAAATAAATAGAAGGGGATTTTCTTGGGAATTTTTTCTTCCTGAAACAGGAAGCTCCGCCCACTTTGCAGCTCCACAGTATTTTTTTGATGCAAATATCTTTTTCCCAGGTGACAAAATGATACCCTTGAATGCACCAGTCCCATGATGCCTGACGGGTTTGGAACGGAGTTAATGCACTGTACTCAGCAGCTATGCACCAGGAGCCAACACTTCCACTACACAAACAGTAACTGGTCAATGATTGACTTGAATGAGAAACTTCCTTTTACTGTAAATATAACAATGCTCAAATATCAAAGACATGACTTCATGGAACTTTCATATGTACATGTTTGTGTGTATCCATATGTACACGTATGTGTGTATCCATATGTACATGTATGTGTGTATCCATATGAACATGTGTGTGTGTATCCATATGAACATGTGTGTGTGCATCCATATGAACATGTGTGTGTGTGTATCCATATGAACATGTGTGTGTATCCATATGAACATGTGTGTGTATCCATATGAACATGTGTGTGTATCCATACGAACATGTGTTTGTGTATCCATGTGTTTGTGTTTTTCTGGCTGGCTGTTGCACTAATTTTAGCTTTTTGCTTTTTGACACATTTTACTGAACTGTGAATCTAAGGGAGCTAGAAATGATTGTTGAATATTATATATTTTATACTTTTGCAATATGTAGCATAACATAATAATCAAAAGCTTTTTGTCTTTGTAGTTTTTGTGATAAGGTGAAGACAGCATGCTGTAGTCTGATTTTTATAATTTTTCGAACAAAGTGCTTTATCTATGATGACAATGTTTGGTTCTCCATCTTTAGGGCAGTTTCTTCAGGGATTCCAAGTATAAAAGCTGACGTCTGTCCTTTATAGAAGAGGGACTCATGGTGAAACTCTCCTCTCATCAGGTTTCTGTTCCCTGTTTCTGACTTTCCCCGACTCTCCCAAACTAAACATTTACGAAAACATGTTCTTTCTTTTATGTGAGTCTGGTGTCACTAATTATTATTTTCATACAACTTAAAAACACTGAAGTTTGTTAAATTTGTATTTGTGTTATTAAATTGTTTATCTTTATATTCTCTTGCTTCTTCTGTTCATCACAACTCACAGTTGTTTCCGGCAGAAACACTACCTCATTCACTCAAGAGAATAATCCAGTCCAGCGGCTGTTACGGTAAAATCACAAAAGCCTCACATAACTGGTTGGGTGACTATCTGCGTTTCGGAAAAACAAAAACCATAGGAGTATTTAAAAAACAATCAAATTAATAATAAAAGTTGGATAGTATATGATTGAGGAAATGATTTTTGTAGTGAATATCATTGGAGTATCAATGTTTTGAGGGGTAAGCAAAAGAAGAATGAATAGAATCAATGCTTATGTAAAGTGCGTAGTCTTTGTTATCTGTGTTTCATGAATCAGAAATAGTTTTTGTACACAGGTTTTGTCTGCGATTGTGTTTATGCAATGGCAGATAAAGAAACTTCCCCTTTCAGGCCTTTCAGACCATATCATAGATCCAAGTCATGTGCAATCAACACTTCCTCAACATTATTATGACCTGGGGTTGTAAGTTCCTGCAGAATCCACTGGAGGGCGCTAACAGTTAAATCAGTATGTGTATGTTAAAGTAAATCTCTGGTTTTAATGTAACCTCACAAAACAAACATTCAATAGAAACTGGGACATATTGATTGTGTTGCTGCTCATGTTTGTTTTCTCTATTTTTAGATCCCTTTTCATAAATTCATGCATAATAAGCAAAACATTAAAAACTTTATCATTGGCAAAGCAGGTTCATTGGTGAAGGCAAAACAAGTGAAAAAAAACGATTGACTATTTATTCCTTATATACTGTATATTTGTAACATTAGCAAGTTATGTATTATTGGTGAAAGCAAAACAAGTGAAAAAAACCCCCACAAAAAACAATTGGCTGTTTATTCCTTATATACTTATTTGTAACATTTGAAAGTTATCTATAATAGGTTTTGAGGGTAAAAATAAAAATCAGTAATCAAAGCCTCAAGGATGATGTTTTTCCGGCAATAAATTACTGACTTGACAGTATTATAAATAAAAAATCATTTTATTTATCTATTCTTTTAAGGACACCCAAGGACTTCTTACAACAAAATGAAAAACATCACTTCAAATTCTAAATAATACTGAATAAAATACATTTAAAAGAATGCACTGTAAAAGCCAATCTACAAAGGTACTGTTTAGAAACGTGATCTGAAAATGTCCAGAGAGAGTCCGACTGTCACAGGTGAATTTGCTGGGAAAAGTCTATTAATTTTAACTTTTTCAAATTCAATAAAAAGGGCATGTACTGGCGCTTGTGTTTTCGCACCTACAGGAAACGCTCTGGTCTGTTGTCCTTTTGAAGTGAGTGTGGTTCAGTCACATTCTCAGGTTGAAGATGATGTTGAAGCTGCTACTCTGGAGTCTGCTCTCTGGCTGTGTCTCTGCAAGTAAGATCTGACAGTCTGTAGGTAAAAATGGACAATCATTCAAATATTAATTGATAATCTGATGTCATTTTAGCGACCATGGATCTGAAGACAGGAGACAATCTTACTCTTAACTGCTCCAGTTATTGTATCTCGAACATTGTTGAAACAGTAGGACTGTATTTATATCGAGATGCAGAGACTGTGCTTTATTACGCTAAAGAAAAAAAGCATTTAATTCCTTATGAAGATGGCAACAGGATAAAGATATCTGGAAATTTTGAGAAAATGTCCATAACAATCCTTAATGTGACTGTTAAGGATTCAGGATTTTACCGCTGCGTATACAAAATCGCCGATGAAAAGTCGTGCAGCATGTACAGAGTGTCCATTTCAGGTACACGCCTCAGCTTGGGTCTCTGTTTTTCATCTTTTAGCTAAATACATTTCCTTTAACAGAAGTTTCATCCAAGAAAACGGAGTGTTTTCCACCAGATGTGCCTCCAACCAAAACACCTGCTCCTGCTCCTATCCCCGTTATTGTCATTGCTGCAGTGACTGGCCTCATCGTCGTCATCGCCATCATCTTCACCCTCTGTGTTATTCCTAAGGTATTTACCGATCTCATGCTCGTCGATAACATTAAGCTGGAAATAGCTTGTGGAGATCCATTTGTAGTTCTGAAAATAATATATAACAGTATGCAGTATGATATTGGGCAGCCCTGCTTTGAAGGCTGCCCCCTACTACCTGGCAATAGATAAAGCGGAAGAAAATGAGCGGTGGATGATAATTACATTTTTGTGTGATTAACAAATATGTTTGTGGTTTTAATGTGTTTTAACAGGTGAAAAAACGGATGCGCAGTGGAGAATCAGAGGCCCAAATGCACAATATTTATGAAGTAATGTCAAGAAATTGATTCCAAACAACTGAAGCAGAAGCATTGTGGACATAGATTGTTCAAAAAATAGTTGGGAAGATTCATCTTTTCTTCTTAGCAGATGAAGTTATTTGTTTCTTCTGCACCAGACAATTGTAAGGTAGTGATGCATTTACTTTGACACGTTTCACCGTGGCCACAGGTCGCAAGAAACCTCTGAGAAAGAAGTGTGGGGGAAGTTTGCCGTGGAAACATGTCAAGGCACTCACATCGCGTTCTTACAATTGTCTGATATGGAAAAACTAAATAACTTGTCCATAAAACAAACCAGGACTCTCCTTCTTGGCCACTGGACACGTGTCAGGAGCAGAGCAGGGACCGTCAGATGGAGCTGGAGCTATTCATTCGCTGTATCAAGTAGCTAATTGTAAATTATGTTTGTTTTTTTTCTACTTCCGGGTGGATCATCAAGAGTATTGGTCCTCCTATTTGTCAATCATTCTGGTGATACGAGCTCGTCAAACTACACCAGAGAGTTTTTTTCAGAAAATGGAGAGGGCAATAGTTTTCTAAAATTTGGTAAAACCCTCTTATATACAGTTCTTGTTTAGGTTAATACTTGTACAATTAACCTCGTTCTTTATCTAATTAACAGCAATTGACGGTTTTTTTGTTGGTGACTTTGAGGACCTTCACCTATAGTCAGAACGTTGTAAACAAGTAATTCATTTCCTTTTATCTTTGTTTTAAATAATGCTCTCTTGGTAAATAATGGGCCTGCTGTTTTTGCTAATGTGGTAGAAAATGGCCTTGTTATCAGTCAGTAATCAGGCCTTCGCGATACTGAACCTGCAGATGCATTCTCTGTGGTGAGTGAAGTCTGAAGAGAGCCGGAAATGAACACAATACTTATCAGTCTTTCTAAGCAGGACAGAGATGAATAATCCCAACTAAGATTGAAAGAAGACCAATACAAGTTAGTCAAAATAGATCCTGAATCAAATAGTGCATCTTCATACGTATTTCCTGAAATGACCTCTCATATTTTCATAAATAAGACCTTTGCTTTGTCCCACGGTGGGGAAAGTGGAGCAACCAGAGCACAAACACAAATTAGTTAAAGAAATTACATAAGAGGTTCAGACCAACACTCCCAGTTATCAGTTATGCCACAGCAGAACTATTTTTCTTTGAGAATAGGTGAGTAGCAGGATATGGTCAGAATAAGTTTAATGTGGTCCCTTATAGTACCATTGTTAAATTGCAGTATTTTATCTTATTTTATGTGTTTTTAAAGTTTTTGACCCCAACATGTTGAGCTTGGTGTCACAATGTAAATAAAAAAGTTGGTTGAGATATGGTTTTAACTTTTCTGATGGAGAATTGCCACTGTTTTTGCAAATGTGTTTGAATTACAATAATTTGCTTTTTCTATCACAATTTGTTCAATGTTGGTCTACTTTTCTAACTTCATCTGTAAAATAAAAAAAAACAAAACAAAAAAACAAATGGATTTTTTTTTTTTTCACCTGAAACTACAAACCACTGCTTACTTCCTGTTGATTGTATCAGATTTCTTCTGGGAGGACACTGCAAAGCTTTGATGTGTTGTTAAGTGCATATGGCAGATGTGTAGACTGAACACAAGTCACAATTTAAGCAAACTCACAACTCTGATAGAAACAGAAATGTTTAAAAAAAAAAAAAAAAAAAAAAAAATTGTTTGCTCAAAATAAAAAATAATTTTTTTTTTGCTCAAAATAAATTATTATTACATTTGAACATTATTTTTAATAATTTTAAATTATGTTTTTTGGAAATCTTGAAGGTAACATTTGAAATAGAAGGTGTTGAAATTGAAAGAGTATCAGAAAATACATTTCTGGGAGTCATAATTGATGATAAGATAAATTGGAAGAGTCACAAAACATAATAATATACAAAAGAAAATATCAAAAAGTATCTTATACAAAGCAAAATTTATATTGGATACAAAGTCACTACACACATTATACAATTCACTCATTTCACCATATTTTAGTCACTGTGCTGAGATCTGGGGCAGCATCTACAAAACCACGCCAAATCCACTCGTCAATCTGTAAAAAAGGCAAAAAGAATCATCAATAACGCTGGGTATAGAGATCGCACAAACCCATTATTCATTCAGTCAAATATTATCAAGATTTCATGATATGATTGAGTTGCAAACACAAAAATTCTATTCAGAGCTAGAAATAAACAGCGGCCTGCACACGTGATTGAAAGGGTTATTGAAAGGGAAACAAAAATAATTATAGAGGATCTATTTATTTTATTTAAAATGGTCCGCATTACATTAATAAGCTTTTGTGTTGCTGTCAGTGGAGAAAAAAATTGAATAAATTGGACGAGGAACTTAAAAAAGAGTTTTAAAAAAATGATACAAAGTCATTATTTTTAGCATAAATATATTCGTGAAGCATGTTAAAAACTTCCAAGCGCTAGGTCTCAAATGGCAAAGGAAGATATTATTTATTTTGTAAAATCAGAGTTTTAAGTAGGGGTGGGATTGCACAAGTTTTTTAAGTACATTGCTTTTGTGTTGTTTTTCAAATCTCAAATGTCCAATAAAAACATTCATTCATTCAACATATTTCACTAAAATGTATAGTTTAAAAAAAATATTAAATCATACCTAGTTGTCCTTAGTTTTGGTTCTACATGGACAACAAATGTAATGGCCAAAAAGATTAATATGGGCTTTTGAGAGAAAGGAAAGGGTAAAGCTGCTCCATCGATGAGGTTCTTAAGTTTGTTGATCTATTTCTAATGTATGTGGTTTTATGTAAATATTATGACTTTACTATGTGTTACCCTTGTGTAGTAATAAAATGCTTCATAAATAAAGTATTGATAATCGTTCCAGCAAACTGTGTAAAATCAAAACTGGCACAAAGTCCAAAATCTTATCTCTGGACACTTTATTTTGCAGTAGCTACATCAGGGCCTTTGAACACATGATATGACGTCCAGTTGAAAAGCAACGTGAATTAAAGCCACAAGCGGCATTGAACGGCCTTGGACTTAAGAATTACTGTTATCATAAACATAATTTTTGAGTTTATGTTTCCATTTATTAACATGCGCAATATCAGACTTTGTTTTTGTAATAACTCTGTGATTCGGCTGCTTGTACACTGCTAAATTAAAACAAGTTCTGTGAGTATTGTTTGATGCTACACTTCTTTAGATGCTGTGGCGTGACTTTGAGCCTGTTTACCTTCACTATTTTTATTTCACACCCAAATATTCTTTTATGTTATTTAATCCCTCATGGCTAGCATCTATATTAAGTTTGACACATTTTATTTGTTTTCATCTTCCAGGCCAGCGTGAAACTTTTCTACAGTGTTTCAACCTTTTATTTACTTTTTGAATGCTTTACTTTTACTTACATGATGGAATAATGTAAATAATTCTAATTTTACCAGTGTTTCTAGTTTCTAGTGTTATTTCTTATACGAGTATCTGTATTTTTTTTTTTTTGCTTAAGACTTGTACGTTTGCCATCTCTGCTAATATTGATACTAAGAACAACACAGCCTGCTTGAGTGAAATCAGAGGTGAAATTATACTCACCGCCACAAGAGGGCAGCAGAGAGATGATCTTGTCTTGTGTGTGGTCATTTAACTCAGCTGAAAGTGAAGTGACATCATTTACCAGTAAAATAACCATTATAGCTTCATGCCTTAATTTGCCTTAATTCATGCCTTAATTTGAATTTGTGAGCCAGCTAAACACAGACCACCGTGTTTTTTTTTGTATTGTGTTTGTCCTAGATTTTTGTTTTTTTACTCATAACAACCCTGCCTCCCCCCACCCACACTCTGATTTTATGTTATCCTTCTATGGCACATTATTGTCTATTTAAGTTTGTTTGTATACTGAAAGATCTGTTGTTTTGAAGTGCATACGGCAAATTTGTAACACATTTCACTAAAATGTATAGTTAGTTGGTTAATTTAAAATCCTATCTAGCTTTTCTTAGTTTTGGTTCTACATGTATATGGTTTTATATGCTGTAAAGCTTATTGACTTATTTGTGACCCTTGTGTAGTAATAAAATGCTTAATAAATAAAGTATTGGTAATCGTTCCGGCAAACTGAATGAAACAAAAACTGGCACAAAGTCCAAAATCTTATCTCTGGACACTTTATTTTGCAGTAGCTACATCTGTGCCTTTGACCACATGATATGACGTCCAGTTGAAAAGCAAAGTAAAAAATTAAAGCCACAAGCGGCATCGAATGGCCTTGGACTTGACTCTATCTCCCTAAGGAGGTGCCAAGAAGCACTATTATATATTACTTTTGAAACATTTTCCATTGAAGTCCCCCCTGCTTTTTATTTTTTTTGGTACTGTTTATTGTAGATTTTTGTTTTTCTCACAACAACCCTGCTCCCAATTTTGTTATAAACTATTTAAGTTTGTTTGTATGAAAAATCTGTACCATTTTATTTTACTTCAATAAAACAAGACCACTAGCCCCCAGCTTTGATTTGTTTTGAAGTGCATATGGCAGATGTGTAGCACTTTTCACTAAAATGTATAGTTAATTGTTTAAATTAAAATCATACCTAGTTTTACGTTTTGGTTCTACATGGACAACAAATTCTAATTAATTCTATAATTCCCTAATATATTAGTATTGTCTATTTTAGTTTGTTTGTATACTGAAAGATCTGTACCATTTTATTATACGTCCATAATTAATTTAATTTTTAATTTGCATTTATTTATTTGCAAGGGGGCGTGTCCTAATGCTGTAGGCCACGCCCCCTTGCATGTGTCCCTCTGCGTCACGGATGGACCCGTAGGGGGGAACGTGGATGAGTTTAGGTCCAAGGATAAAGCAAGAGCGAATCACACGCGTGCATCTGCTCTGCCTGCTCTCGCTCCGCCAGCTTCATCATCCACACAGACGCAAAAGCCAAACTTCAATAACCAGCACAGAGCATGAAGAAAACGGCTAATTCAGGTAATTTATACACTAT